CACCTTTAATGTTAGGACCATTTTTTACTGATTCTATACTCAGTGAGGAACTGTATTGACCAAGGATCGGTTACACAGAACAGAATTTGTAATCACTAGTTTAGGTAAAAAGATATCTACTACCAGACATTCATCAGCTTATAGAATTACTAGGAGAGAAGAAAAAAAAAAGTATTTTTGAACCTTCAAGAATAATTTCCAAAAACACACTGCAGAATTAAGCCACTGTTGTTCTAGTGAGGAACCAGGCTGAAAAACTGGTAAGCTGATGCTAATGCTGTCTCTGAGACCATATTGGCACAGCAATTGCAAAGCTATGGCAATTACAAAACTTCCACATCATGGAAGCCACCACAAATAAGTATCTTCCAATAGATCATGAAGCCTCCTTACTGCTTCTGGCTCTAGACCACACCATATCTAAGATGATATGCACCAGCAAAATCGAGATCTATTTCTTGACTGTCAACACGCATGAAACTAGTGATCAGACACTGGGATTTCTGATAATATTGACACAGAAAAATCAGATGCCTACAAACTGCTGTTGTCTTTTTTTAACTTTTATTTTTATATACTTATAAACCTATGAGAATGAATTCCACCTCTCTTCTGCCTTGCCAAGCATATTGATGCTTCCCAGTCCCAATTGGAAAAATTTCTGAGAAATGAAGTTTTTAGCTTTTCAGCTTTTGCAATAAAGAATGGCACACTAGGGGGGTTCTATTGGATGTTCAGCACCAATTCACCTTGTTTTCTGAAGAAGCACAAAAAGATTTTTTGTGTGTGTTACTGGGGTTTGAATTCAGGGCCTCAAGCTTGCCAGGCAGGTACTCTATCACTTGAGTCACACTTCCAGCCCTAATAAAAGATTTTAAATGAAGAACAGAACTGTAGATTTAACCTCTTTATAGTGAGTTTGAAATGATAGAACAAATTTAGTTAAAACAAAATGGCTAAAACAAAATTTGTTATAACTCTACCCCAAAACTATCTATTTCAATTCCCAGTTTCTATTATTCTGTGACTTACCTAGTTTAGAAACTAGTGTCCTATATATACCTGGCCTCTGTGTTAGTCAGAGTTTGTCATCATTGTGACCAAACACCTGAGAAAACAACTTAAGGGAGAAAGAATTTATTTACAATTTCCAAAGTTTCAGGCCATCAGGGCAGGGCAGGGAGGCAGAGCAAACAGCTCACATCATCACATCATGGTAGTCAGGTAGAAGAGAGAGGAAGAATGCCTGCACTACTTGGCTTTCTCTGTCTTCCCCCTTTTATTTCATTAGGGCCTAGCAGATGATGCCACTCACATTCAGGGCAGGTCTTCATTGTGGTTAGTCCTCTCTGGAAACTCCTAGCAGAGACTCCAAACCTAGCAGAGACCCCAAACACATGCTTTACTAATCTCCTCGGTGCTCTCAATCCAGTCAAGCTGATGAAGAGATTACCTTTCACAGCCTCCAAAAATATTTCCAAATAATATAAAAAATATCCTGAACTATAAAAAGTATGCACACATGACCAGGAAAAACTTATTGTCCCAGTAGCAACTTGTGCTATACTGAAAATGTTAAGGTTAACAAATTAAACTACTCAACATATTGCTTCTTGGCCTTTTGGCTAAAATCAAGTGAAAAACATTCAATAGAACTACTAATATCACTTCTATAGCAGTGATTCTAAACATCTTTTTTTTTTTTCCTGAGCCAAAAGGTGTCAGGAAAACATGTTCTGAGTAATGTTTACTATGTCAGTAATTCTCAGGCAAAATGGGTAGGAATTAGCATACTGAGTGCTTATGAATCTCTGGGGTTCTGACATCACAATTTGCATTTTCTTTATTGAAGATACTGTTTTATTGTACTAACAGCTATAAAAAAATTGACTTGTACTAAGAACTTTATTAGATTCACAGCAGACATTTGTGGGTTGCAAGTATTCTACATCGTGGTTAAAATTAAAGCTTTCTTTTTTAGTTATAGGTTTTAAACATAAATGTATTTAATTCAAATATCTTTAAAATCTATTGCAATGAGTTGTGATTCATATAGCAATAAACCATCAATAAATATTACATAAGATAAGAGTAAGAAATTGGGAAGTACTAGGTAAGGATTGGAAGCCACTATTCAGACTTGTTGATGGAGTCAATTCTAATAAGTGGATAGTAAAGTAGTTCACAGATCCTTAGCTATTGCAAAAATGTGTATTCACTGACTTGAATGGTATTAAAACAAAAATGACTCAAAAGAACACTGAGATTTTGGTTTTATATGAGTCAATCTTATATCCTATTCAAAAATCACTGAGTCATAGTTCCTATATCACCTGATTTATAACACATTTCTGTGGCACAGATGGTGCTGATGGCTGTAATAGATGGGCTCTTATATCTTTCCAATATTTGATAGTAACACAATTAATCTATATGGCAATAAAAGACTCATGTCAACCTATGGTCACACATATCAGGACAAAGTAAACTCCTGTCACAATGTCAGTTAACAACTCTCCAAATTAGAATCATAATTTTGAAATGGGAACTGTTCATTAAATAATGTTGCAATTTATTTGTCATCAACTTCTATTCAATACAATCTGTCCTTCTGAAAAACTGTTTTCTGTTGTTACAGAATATATACCAATAAATAATACATAAAGGACAAATATTGTAATAGACATATGTGCAAAGTGCTATGGGAATGCAGAAGCGAGAGTAATAAACTTTTTCCTTGGGGATGGAGAAGGCTTCAGGAAATCAGGAATTCTTCACAAAGATAGATTTAACCTGGCTTTTGAAGGATGAATAGGAAATCACCATACAAACAAGGAGAAAGGCATGCAATCATGAAATACATTGAGTGAAAAGGAATGAAAAGAAAAAAAAAATCTTTGCTTATTTTTCTTGTGGTACTGGGGTTTTGAACTCAGGGCCTCATGCTTGCTAGGCAGGCACTTGAGCCACTCCCCGGCTTCACTTAAAAAAATAGTGTGGTCTCTTCGGCAGCACATATACTAAAGTTAGAATGATACAGAGACGATCAGCATGGCCCCTGCATAAGGATGACACACAATTTTGTGAAGCATTACACATTTTGAAAATAAAAAAAGACATAATTAATCAGATGTTATTTCACAAAAATATTCCTGTCTTTATATTTTTCAGTAGACAATTTTTTTCTTTCCCATAAAACTGGTTATAAAATCAATGACTACTTTTCACAAATTCCAACTACTGATGATTTCACCATCGTATATCCCTCCACCTTCATCTTCTCATTTCTTAGTTTTCATGCCTTTTTCACTTCCTCCCTGTATCACAACAGCTACCAGCTTCCAAAAAAGGTGGATTAGGTATTTATCAAATCGGGAAGTTTTCCTCTATCATTCAATTCATTTTTGTATACACTAAAAACTAAAAATTATTTGTGATTTTTGTCTTTTGAAAATCCAGTAGGGATTTATATTTTATCACTTAAAGGTTTGGGTAGCAAGAAAGCAGGTCTAGCTACAAAAGCAAGGCAATGGTGGGAGTTGGGGTGGGGAAGTACTGGGGATAGAACTCAGGGCCTCATGCTTGCTAGGGCAGGAGCTCCATCACTTGAGCCACACCCCCAGATCTTTTGTTTTTGTTTTCCAGACAGTGTCTCATGCTTTGCCCAGGCTGGCCTCAGACCATGATCCTCCTACCTCTACCTCCCAGGTATCTGGGATTACATGTGTATACCACTATGCTTGGCCTAAAACAGTAATTTTGAATTTTCAACTCCCAATTTCTGTTTCAAACTGTTTTCATTTCAATAGTGCATCTAAACACTCTTCTCTAGTTTACTGATAATCAGTCTATATTGTTCCAACTCAATTATAAATAATTTGACTTCCCACATTGGTAGCTGCAGATTCTGTGAAAAGAACCATGTGATCTCTCCTTTAGGAAAGGAGGATCAGACTGAGGACTCCTGTCCTACCTTAATTTGAGATTAGGCTGTTCTAACTGGTTAGAACAGAATTTAGCCTAAATTTAGAGTATTTAGAATACTAAGGGTTGAATAGGCAGTTACAGTAATTCTCAAGACCCCTGTAAGGCAGATAGGAATTCTTCTAACATTCTCTTGTCCTATCATTCCCTGCACTATACTGGACAAAAGACCATTTTCCACATGCAACTATTGAGTGAAGTTTGGCTCCTATGTACCAAATAAATAACTGTGGGACCCCATGCATGTATCATAGTGTCAGTGACCTGTCAATGACCCACAACTCAGAAAGTATAAAAGAATAAATAAAAGTTTGAAAACTTATAGCTTTCTCTACTGGATATTTTTTGCCAAATATCCACTGGTAACCCAAATGTTCGACTTACATGTTGACTAAAAAGTGAAAAATTCCATTTGCATAATTGTGTTTTACATTTAGTGAACCCTAAATATGGGCATAGGATAAGAAAAAACTTGTTTTATTTTTAATTTAAACAAAGCTTGCCCCTGAAATATTTAACCAACAGAATTAGTACTAATAAATTTTGAAGTTATTTTTAATGAAGTAGAGTTTATTCAAGTCAGGTCTTTTAGAAATAAAAATGGACAGCAATAAACAAACCCAAGAAAAGGTAGAAAAAACCTCATGTGTCTTTGATGTCTCCTCTAAAATCCACAATCTCTACACCTGTGCTTTCATCCTCAAATGATGATAATCTCTATTTATTTTGCTTTGTTAATCTAAGTACATGCAGTTTACCCAGAGATTGCCCTCTAAAAATTGGTCTATGCCTGTTCTGTCTTCACAAAAAGTAAAGGAAAAGCAAAACAAAATAAAACAAGTGTGTGTGCATGTGTGTGTGTGTGTGTGTCTGTGTGTGTGTGTGTGTGTGTGTGTCTGTGTATGGTGGTAAAAAAAGCAACTTTGGACTTCCTCTTTGAACAGTTGCCTTTTCCTCTCACACCAGGGAGATTTCATTTTGTCTGAGGCTGGATACAGTTAAAACCAAACCACACGCCAAATAGAGGGTATGATGGCTAAGAAGCCCCCAAAACCAGCACCTCGTAGGATCTTCCAGGAAAGATTAAAGATTACTGCTCTACCTTTGTACTTTGAAGGATTTTTATTAGTCAAACGGTCAGAATACGAAGTAAGTCTGTAGACGATAATATTAAACGTGAAACTTTGGTCTTTTTTTTTTTCTTCTTCTTGTTTTAAAACTTCAGTCTTAATATAACATTTATCTCATGGTATTATGTGATAAAGCCTCCTTGTTTCTAATTGGATTATATTTTTCTGTTCCTTGAACCCATAAAAATAATTCTAATTTTGCATTACTTAAAATACAATGTATGGCTTAAACATATATTCAGATATATATATGCATAATGTATAATAAGTTTCTAATGCTAAGCCACTAATAAAAAATTCAATAAGCTAAATTTCTGAAGAGTTTATTTAAACATCACATAGGAAGTAAAATGTTTCTTATATTTTCTCCCCAATTTACTACTATGCTTCAATGATAATGTACATCACTAAGATAAAATACTATGATTAATATTAAGACTTTCTCTACTTCTATTCTTAAATATATTGAAGTTGACAATGTTCAAATTTAAAAAATGATAAACTTTTCTAAAAATTATAAAAGGTAAAATTGATATAGTTTAACATTATCTTTAGTTATATAGTCTAAAAACACTGTTCAAGATAGTGACTTTAAAAGATAATATTTAGAGTGCTATTTTGGATAGTAAGCACATTAAGCTGCAAAAGTATATTTGTTCTTTGATAATTCACAATTCACTCAATATTTTTTAAATGCAAAAAATAAAACCTGTAATTAGTTTCAATGATTACCTTTAAAATTGGAATGTGGTTAACTTAAAATTAGAGAAATAAACTTGTATGTTACTAAAGAAGAAAAATATTAATTTACATTAAATTTTATGAAATTTTAATATTGAGTGAAACTAGAAAAATTTTGGATGTTTTCAGAAATGCTATAAGAAGTGTTTAATGATAAAAAGAAAACACCTTTTCTGAGGACTTGTTAATACTTCTGGAAAAAAACTTTTATAATAGTATATTCATATTTTCTACATATATAATCAGAGCATTTACTATTAAAAAGTAAAGACATGGTAATTTCTATTGTTATGAGTATTAACTGTGTATTAATAATATTTGTTAGCTGTTAAAATTTTTGTTATTCCTATATGCTTTTGTAGTAAATTAAATGTTTTCACTACAGCTACATTGTGATACATTGCTAGAAATGGAGAATTGCAAAAAAGAAAATTCTAATTTGTGGGCTGGGGCTGGGGTTCAAAAGGTAGAGTGCCTGCTTAGCAAGTACCAGACCCTAAGTTCAAATCCTACTACCAGACAAAAAAAAAAGAAGAAAAAGAAATTTCTAATTTGAAATTTAAATTTGACTATTCATTGAATGCTTTTCCAAAGTATTTGTGATTGTTACTGATAGTAAGTTCTTTTTAATGTTTAAAGAAGGGATACCATTTGTATGGTTAGGAAGAACAAAAATTTTAGAGTGTCATTAAAACATGTCAGTATCTAATGATCCGGAAACTTACAGCTCTTGTGACCTTGTCCAAATTAATCAATCTCCTTCAGACTCAGTTTCCTCAACTGTAAAATGTAGAGAATGTATACTTCTTGCCTCCATTACAATATGTGATCATTTACAATGCGTTATCTATTATGTGTGGGATAAGTAGGTGCTAAATCAATTTATTCATTCAAACAATATTTATTGCCTGCCTCTGATGCACCAAACATCTCATTCAGTTCTGAAAAATATGAATAAAACACAAAGTCCCTAATTTCAAGAGGCTTAACTTTGGCTAAGCTATGGCTCAAGTGGTAGAGTGCCTGCCTACCAAGCCATAAGGACTTGAGTTCAAAACTCGGTAATGATAAAAATTTTTTAAAAAATTTATTATAACTTCTTATCCAGTTCCTACCCTGCTTTTTCCTAGAAAGCATGCTTTGGAATAAAATTCATAAAGTAAAAATATAAATATTTCTTATGAGAGCTGGGAATGTAGTTCAGTGATAGAGTACCTACCTGGCATATGTGAAGCCTTGGGTTCAATTCCCAGCACAGCAAAATATTTATATTTCTGGTGAAATTGACTTGTTTTTCCATTTGAATTCATAGCAAAACACCTTTTCTTTGTATGTCAGGGAGAAGGAGAGCCACCTACTTCACTTTAAACGTTAGATTCATTCTCTTCCCATTTCATTATTTATCATATTTCTGTTAACATCCTAAAACCCACTTGGAATCCACAAGCAAAAGAGAGATATAGTAGTAAAAAGCTTGAAAATAGGAGCTCTAAGAAAAAGCAAAGGGAAGTAAGTGGAATTTCTATGCAACTGGCAGCAAAGTACTAAGGAACCCGGGGAAGGAAAGTGAGCCAACAGTATTATAGCCTGGTCACCTTGCAAGCTAATGAGATAAAGGACATTGAGAGGCTCTGCAGAATGTCAAGTGGAATTTCTGCTAAACAAGTTCAGAACACTTAAGCTAAAGAAAATATAACTGATGAGTAACCTGGTTAATAAGGGGATTACATGGTGAGAGGCACTTTTTAGGAGTTTTTGTTTTGTTGGGGCATTTTTGAAGAATTTAAGGAGTTTTGCCCCAGGAATACACCAACATACACCAATTTTCATGCAAGTCCAGACCTGAATCTCAGGTCAAGAATCTATGAGGCACCTGCACACCCATGTTTATTGTGGCACTATTCACAATAGCCAAGTTATGGAAACAGCCAAGATGCCCCACCACTGACGAATGGATTAAGAAAATGTGGTATCTATACACAGTGGAATTTTATGCAGCCATGAAGAAGAACAAAATGTTATCATTCGCTGGTAAATGGATGGAATTGGAGAACATCATTCTGAGTGAGGTTAGCCTGGCCCAAAAGACCAAAAATCGTATGTTCTCCCTCATATGTGGACATTAGATCAAGGGCAAACACAACAATGGGATTAGACTATGAGCACATGATAAAAGCTTTAGCACACAAGGGAGGGGTGAGGATAGGTAAGACACCTAAAAAACTAGCTAGCATTTGTTGCCCTTAACGCAGAGAAACTAAAGCAGATACCTTAAAGCAACTGAGGCCAATAGGAAAAGGGGAACAGGTACTAGAGAAAAGGTTAGATCAAAAAGAATTAACCTAGAAGGTAACACCCACGTACAGGAAATCAATGTGAGTCAATGCCCTGTATAGCTATCCTTATCTCAACCAGCAAAAACCCTTGTTCCTTCCTATTATGGCTTATACTCTCTCTACAACAAAATTAGAAATAAGGGCAAAATAGTTTCTGCTGGGTATTGGGGGGGGTGAGAGGGAGAGGGCGGAGTGGGTGGTAAGGGAGGGGTGGGGGCAGGGTGGAGAAATGAACCAAGCCTTGTATGCACATACGAATAATAAAAGAAAAAGGAAAAAAAAAAGATTTTCTCTAACAATCTAAAAAAAAAAAAAATCTATGAAAAGGGATGGCAGAGTAGCTCAAGTGGCAGATCCCCTGCCTAGCAAGCGTGAGTGAGGCCCTGAGTTCAAACCCCAGTACTACCAAAAAAAAAAAAAAAAAAAAAGGGAGTCTAAATAAAGCACATAATCCTCATGGAAAAGATAATGTGGGAAGATTTAATTCAATTACAGCAGTAGCATTCTGAATTGACCAGAAAGACGTATTTGATAACAAAAATATGCAAGTATTAAATATCACAATTAAATACCAATCACATTGCAAATGTGGAAAAGTTCTAACTTCTAGAAATGTGAAAACAAGAGAGTTTGGGCAATAACTCATAATTCCTTCAATGTGTGATGTGCTTATTTTTTTAAAACTACATGTAATGTGTCTTATTACCCTGAACATAAAAGTGTGATGATCATAACTATTGCCAAAGCAACATTTCTCTGACTTGTCTTTTGCTTGCCTCCAGTCCATTTAGGAAATTTTTTAAAGAGCTTTCCCAGTTGTGCTCTCAAACACAATTCTCTATGTCAGACATCTCCACAATTTTTTAAATAACACACTTCTTTCATGAAAACATTTTTGGGCACAGTTATTTAGAATCTCTGTATTTATATTCCTGTACTACTCTATATAAATTATTAAATATACACAAAAGAATTATGATGAAATATAAGTAGATATTTTACAAGTTTCCTGATGGATTATACATTTTTGGGGTTTATGCAACCCAATTTAGAGAACCACTACAATGTCCTTCCTTAGGCAAATACATTTTAGTTGCTTACCAAAAAAAAAAAGGGAGGGAGTATTTTGTTGGGGAGAGGAATAGAGATAAATTTAAAGGGAAACTCCAGTTTTCCCAGTTACAGTGGGTTTGCACTGGAACCCATTTCTACCAGTTACATTAATGAGAAAAAAGTACTGGGAAGTCAACAGATAAAGTATCCATCCAATGCTGGACTTTGGGCAATGCCTTTAAATCTTTCATTCTGTTTCCCCCTTGGAAAAATGGATGAATTCTCTCTTTTAAACTGAGTGAATTTCTGTGATGACTATACAGAATATAATAATAGATGTATTCTCTTGAGGTGTGACACTTGGTGGATATCATGCTTCACTCATCTCCTTTTAGATATCAAGTTATAGGAATAGGGAGACATAAAGAGGTTATCTGTATCTGCTTTCCCCTTTGAGATATTAAGAAACCACAAGGCTCCTTGAAGGGGTAGAGAGACAGAAAAATGAAAGACATGTCTTGCAAAAGGAAGTCCTAAACTCACTTAAATTGCCCCTGTGTTTTGATTTGAGTAGGCATAGATACCATCTCCATGTTTTAAAATAATAAACAGCACCCATCTTAGTCATCCAGACTGTTGTCTAATAATTAGGCTATCTAGTGTCTAGTGACAGCATGACCATGTATATTCTTCCAGTTTAGAAGGTATGAAGGTTACAGATAAGAGCCACCATTTTGAGTCATTACTCCTATTTCCTGTGTGAGGAACAGGAAATGGTTCTCCTTTTTTTTTTTTTTTCCATTTCTCACTACTTTTTTCCTGCTATACTAAAATAAAACCTCACTAAAACTTCCACCTTGTGAGATTCCTTATTGTGAGCCACCTTGAAATTCTTCTTATGTTTGTGGACCTCAAGTACCTGTGATTTTTTTCATGGACACTGAGAATCTGAGGGAGCCCCCTCATCCAGTGACACAACTATTTGTCTATCTGGCCCTTTTAATATTTACTGAAAATAATATAATTTCCCTGTCTTATCTATTTATCCTGCCTCATTATGGCTTACAGAGGTTATGTCCAAAGCTCTTCATCCATTAGAGAGCCAAGCATGGGTTTCATTGTGATACACTTCACATAATGGTGCCTCTCAAACTAAAGTTCTAATTCCATTTGATTATAGGCTTCCAAAGGTCAGAAATGTCCACTTGCTGTATATTTTATCATACTGAATTCAATAGTGAAACCCAGTAGACTTCAAAGTCATTTGCTTAATTAAATAAAAATAAGAGCATAGCCTTAAGTTCTAAATGTAAGGTCATGTGATGTTTATGAAGCTAGTGTTAAATTCTTGGGTTGGTAGAGTGGCTCAAGTGGTAGAGCAACTGCTGTGAGGCCCTGAGTTCAAACTCTAGTATTATCAAAAACAATAATAAAACAACAACAAAACAAAGAAGTCTCAGTTCAGTTCCTTTTCTTACTTCAATGAGTTAATATTTGTTTATTTAAAAAGTAAGAAACTGTGCTAAATTTACTTTATCCAAAGATGTGTCCTTCAAAATTATCTTTTAAATGTTTAAGTATCTCTGTAGATGAAAATGTATACCTAGATACTACTTTTTGAGATTGGTATTAATAGATGACTCAGGTTATGTGGTATTCATAAGATCATATCAGAAACTAAATCAAGACTATGACCTTCAGGTCTCTACATACTGAATATAAGTTTGTACTGTCTTTAGGTTTGTGGCAGTGGTTGCAGTTCAAAGAGTCTATTTGTAAACTTATTTTTCCTCCAATGCTGCTTTTGCACTCAACTCATGTGCCTTTATGATTACTTCTAACTTCTTTTAATAAATTTTCCTTAATCCTTTCCATGAATCTATAGGTTTGTTTACCTGTTAAACTCCAGTTTTTCCTGAATAAGTCTAGTTAATTAATGCCATTCTTTTGTAACTGAACACCTCTGTGATTTTCCTTAGGAGCACAAACAGATGTCTGCATCTACATACAGAGGGAACTCAATAAATGTTGACTAGCTCTTTGTGATACTAGTCTTTCTTATACCAGGTTAAACTAAAACTTAGACCAGCTAAGAAAATGGGCAGAGTAGTAGACTGACTTCTAGGGTTTTCTCTTGCTTTCCTTTTCTCCAAGTGTTATTCATTCTTGAGGTTTGCCTCAGTCTTAGGGAAACCATACTTTAGTAAAAGTTCACAACTGATAGTTAAGTTCCCTAAACATTATACCTACATGCCCTTTCCTTCTGCACTGTCCTCACTCCCATCCTATTTCCACAATACTAGGAGGTGGGTTGAGGAACAATACACAACACCTCTTCCTTTCACTGAAGAGGCTTGCAAATAGATCAGAGCGTGATCTATTGGCTAATCTCTCAATCATATGCTCTTTTTTCATTTTTTTCTTTTATCATTTTTACATTTACTTATATGTGTATATGTTGTTTGGGCCACCTCCCCACTCCTCCCACCTCTCCAACCCTGAGTATATGCTCTTGAATTTTTTTCTATGGTGATTTGTTCTTGGTTTAGGAGGAATTGGCAGTATATTACATGTTATAGCCAGGTCTCAATTAGAGGTGTAGAAAGGAGTAGAAAGATCACCAAGCTTGGAAAAAGATATCCTGTCCCAAGTTCCACTCTGCCCCTTAGGTAGAATTATGCAATAATACTATGAATTCATTTAAGTCTGATCATATGCACACACTATTGAAATGTTATTTTTCTGTTTCTTTCACAAAGAAGTTAAGCTTGGGTTAAGTGACATGCTTAGGTAAATGTGACTAAAGAAGAGGTTTAAATATGCTGTACATTGGGCTTTGCTTTCTCTTAACCCCAAGAATCCTTATGCCCACATGTGAGCAAAGTCTGGGCTACCTAACTGGAGAAAAAGTTGTCCCATCTTTTCCAGTCATTCCACAGTTCCCAGCTAAGACCTAGACAAGCGAGATCACCCTGGACCACTCAACAAAAGCCATCTATACCCTGATGAGGAAAACAATCAGCTAGCCACAGAATGGTGAAAAGTAGAATACATTTGCTGTTTTAGTGCATAAGTGGACTTGGGAGTTGGTTTGTTTTGTAGGTTGGGTAGCTATACAGAAAAAGTTAACTAGGCCAAGTGCTAGTGGCTCACGCCTTTGCAATCCTAGCTACTCAGGAGGCAGAGATCAGGAGAGTCTTGGTTCAAAGTCAACTCAGGAAGAAAGTTCTAAAAGCAACTATCTCAAAAATACCCAACACAAAACAGAGTTGGTGAAATGGCTCAAGCCATAGAGCTTAGCAAGCATGAGACCCGGAGTTCAAATTCCATACCTCCAGAAAAAAAAGTAGCTAACATAGCAGCAGATTAAAGGGAGAAATTAGGGCTGATAGAGTGACTCAAGTGGTAGAACTCCTGCCTAAGAAGCACGAGGTCCTGAGCTCAATTCCCTGTATCGCCAATAATAAATAAATAAAAATAAAAGGAGAAAATTGCTCTATAAAGAATATGAGAAAAGATGGTGGTTGTAATAAGAATTAGTTTAATTTTGAACTTGGGAGCCAGGAAAATAAAAGAAATATCTGTTTATAGAGTTCCTATTATTTGAGAAAATAAATTTTGAAGAAGTGACAAAACATTTTTCTGATCAAAGGATAAATAATATATTGAAAGTAAAGTGACACAAAATACCATAATATTTATTTTAAAAAATAAAATTTTGTGACTTTTTAATCCTTAATATGTAAGCCAAGATGTTTTGGCGAATTGCATAAATTCAGCTGATCAAACCAAAAACAGAAGGAATGATCAACATGTCTAGTAAATTAACTGGGATTTTTAAAAAATATACTTTTAGAAAGGGCTGGGTATGAAGGTAAGATTTTATTCTTTTTCTTTTTGGTGGTACTAGGAGTTGAAAGCAGGAATTTGTGTTTGCTAACACACTTATGCCACTCCTCTAGCCCAAGATTTTATTCTTCAAACTCATTTGCTATTCTTTTGTAATATAGGCAAAAAGAAAAAAATTTAAAAATGGAAAACTAGGTAATCTTCATATTTATTCAAGTAGATTTTCATCTGAGTTATGTAAATTTTTTTAATTTAATTTTTTTTTAAATTTAAACTTATTTAAAATTTTTAAACTTAAAAAACTGTATTATGAAGATATCAGTAATTAAATATTTACCACATTAATGAAATTTGGTCTTCAAAGTTCAGTTTTGACGGTGTTAACATTATTCTCATCATTATCAATTTCTCTCATTTCCTTGATCTACACTAATAATACATACTGTTTACTGAGCCCAAACTATGAGCCATGTACTGTGCTTGGTGCTTTACATGGATTAATTCATTTATTCCTTTCAATCTCCTAGAAGTAGATATCATACTCTTGTCCTATCCCAGACCCTTAAATGGGCCCTCTTGCATGTGCTAGCTTCCACTGAAATTGCAAAAGAAGTCTTAAGTCAATTAGGAGAATTTGGAAAATGATCTATTTAACCACAAATCAAACATTATACTAAAACAAAGTTAGAAGGTTTTAGTCAAGAATTAAAGTAAAGCTATTAAAAGCTAGGTGAATTATTCAGGATAAAGAAGAACCTTATACAAACAATTTAAAAAGTCAAAGGACTGGTGGAGTGGCTCAAGTGGACAGTGCTTGCTTGACAAACGTGAGGCCTTGAATTCAAACCCAGTACCACCAAAAAAAAAATTAAATTATTCAAAGTACACTGCATGCATGTATGGAGTTGTCACAATGAAATCACCTCATATTATTAATGTATGATAATTCAAAAATAAAATTAAAAATATTTTAAAAAGAAAGCTAAAAGGGAAAATTAAAAGAAAACAGCTGACTTTACACTAATGAAGCAATGCTTATGATTTCTTTCCCACAGGAGTATAAACACTATTGGACAGAATTGAGAGGAACCAGCCTTTTCTTTTATACGGACAAAAAAAGTGCAACAGTAAGTACTTAAATATTCAGCTGATTCAACTTTTTTTCTGATATACCCTTGTAACATAGTCAGTTATTCATTAAAAATGAAGACAAGCCAGGCAGAGTGGCTCATATCTGTAATCCCAGCTACTCTGGAGATGGAATAAAGAGGATTATGGTTCAAGGTCAGCCCAGGAAACTTTAGCAAGATTCCATCTCAGCAAATAAGCCAGACATGATGGTTCATATTTATAATCCCAGCTATGTGGAAAGTGTAAATAGGAGGATTGCAGTCTGAGGACAGCCCTGGACAAAAATGCTAGACCTTATTTAAAAAATAACTAAAGCCAAAAGGGCTGAAGACATGGCTCAAATAGTACAGTGCCTGCCTAGCACCAAGTGAGGCCTTAAGTTCACCAAAAAAAAAAAAAAAAAAAACCACCAATAAAACAACAACAAAAAATACAATGTTTTTATCTTTCACCAGAGTTCTGAGTAGACGAGATTTATATGAGGGTGTTTTCAAATATCATAATTTTTTTTAAAAAACAAGTTCTCTGTTGTACATTCCAACTTCCCCTCGCTGTCAGAAAATCAAGAGACTGTTCCAAACCTTGTATAATGTACAGTAAATACAGTAAATGAGAGAGAGCTAAGAGTTGCTGTTCACTTACCACAATAACAAGAGGCTTTACAATTTGGTGATGGAGAGAGCCTGGTGCATTCAGATTGATTGTCTGGTTTTTTTATGTTGGTGCTGCCATTGTTAACAGTGGGATTTTGGACTAATTACCTAGCCTCTCTGTCTCTGTGTATGAAAGAGGGTAATGACTTTTTTTTGGCTGTTCTGGGGTTTAAACTCAGGGCCTCATGCTCACTAGGCAGGTTCTCTGTCACTTGAGCCACTCTGCCAGCTGGAAAGGGGACTGACCAAAAATATGGCATCTTAAATTCAACCATTTGAAAAGTCAAAGTCTTAATAAATATTCAAAGCAGTGGGCAAAATACAGGGAAGTCACAAAGGATAATATAGAACCTGGAGACTAATAATAGTACTACCCTATTAACACATCTAGGAGTGAGAGAAAAAGAGTGGGAGAGATCACACATGAGAGAAGAATGACCTTTGATGGAGGGAGCAACTACACAGGGCAATAAATACCCAACCTCATTTACTTTACCCTCTGCTCTCCCTCCAGAGTCTCCAGTGGTTCAATTCAACAAGAAGTCAAAGAATGAGTAAAGCCCTTAATGTTGTCCATATAGGTCCTTCTTCTCATTCAGAATATTGGGTATGAAAGGATAAAAAAGAATTTAGCGGAGCAAACAACACAGAGATATGTAGGGGAAATGTCCAGTATTCTTCAGTCTTCAGGTCTTTACATTTAGAATAAAACTCATAGCCTATCTCATGGGGCTATCAAAATAATTAAGTGAAATAGGTGGGAGCGTACCTGCCCAGCAAGCATGAGGCCCTGAGTTCAAACTCCCAGTACTGCAAACAAAGAAAAAAGAAAAGAAAAATAATAGTTGGACACAATAAACACTCAAACATTTTACATTCATTGTCTATTTAATTCTTACCAACTCTCCAGAGCAGGTACTATTTTTAATCTGCACTTTATACATGAGAATAGTTAAGCTTAATGACTAAGAAATTGTACAAGATCACATAGCAAATAATAATAGCTAATTTAGGTCTTGCTCATGGGTTGGCTTTAGCCATCATGCCATGAAGAGATTTTTATAAGGAAAGGGTGAAGAATCATGCATCTACCAATTTTCATAAAAGAAGATGAAGATGTTTTGGAAAGTTTTGGGGACATTATAGTCTCAGGAGATAACATGGGGCCAGACCAGGTGAAAACTGTAAGTATTTATTTAACCTACAGCAGGGAAGAATTCAAAGATATTCTTACATATCTGAAAGACTATAAGGAAGTAATGTGAAAGTATAACTGAATTTGTTTAGTGTTGTTCCACAAAAAAGGGACTAGAATCAATGGTTATGAATTGCCTGGAGAAAAACTGTGGCTCAATATAAAAAAAAAATTACAAGTAGGCAGAGTTGCTTAGGAGTCCTGAGTTCCATGTTGTTATGTTGAAGAACTACATGGATACCCTGGAATAGATTCAAGCAGCAGTGTTAGACAGATGACCTTTAAGGCTCTTTACAACACTACAATTCAAAACAAAAGATACAACTTCCCTTCCTGTAATCAATAGATCAGACCACAGCACTCTATCTAACTCGGCCACCTCTTCCTCTGTTGCTTCCTCTTTGTTGCAGCAAAACTCACTGAGCTTGATCAAGACAGTCTATCAGAAAAAGATGCGCCCCAGTGCCACCAAAAAAAAAAATAAATAAAAAAATAAAAAGAAAAAGATGCGTATTTAACTTTAAATTCTGTATCTTGTACCTCTCCTTTCATTTTTAATTCTGCATTGTTCATTGAAAACAAATACACCAACCCAAACTTACTCTCAACCTCATCCATATAGAAACAGCTCTGGAAAAAGTTTGCCTATTTTTATGCCCTACTTTATTCAGAAAAATAAAATAAGAAGACTTCTAGGAATACAGTAAAATGAACCATAACCAAGAGAAAACTAGAAGAACATAAAAATAAATCAAGAATGAGACTAATTTATCAAATGACAAACAAGCAAATAAACCATAAACACTCTACTATAGGTAAGCCTTCTAATACTAGAGAGCAAGTATGACCTGTTGCATACAGATCAGTCCAAATAGACAGTTAGGAAATATTTTTATTGTATTTGAGTAAGATAGGAATTTTTTCGCAGTACTGGGGCTAGATCTTAGCCTCACGCTTGCTAGGTAGGCGCTCTACCACTTGAACCATGCCTTCAGTCTCTAATATAGGAATTTCTTTTCTTTTCCTTTTTTTTGTTTGCGTGTGTGAGGTAGTACAGAATGTTGAACTCAGGGCTTCATGCTTGTTAAGAAAATGCTGTACCACTTGAGCCACTCTGCCAGCCCCAGGTTTTTACTTATTTATTTTTTGGCAGTACTAGGGTTTGAAATCAGGGTTTTGTACTTTGTACACAAGTGCTGTACCACTTGCACCATGCCTTCAGCCCAAGAAATTTTTCTTTTCTTTTTTTTTTTAGTGAAAGTGATAGTAAAGTTTATTAGGATAGGAATACATTTTAAATAGACTGAAAATAAGCCATCTCTAGAGAAAGAATGAGAATGATCCAGCCCAAGAATTTCTTAAGAAGAAGCCTCATAACCAGTTGTGAATGATAGGACTGGAGATGTAGCTCAAGAGGTAGAGCACATGCTTTGCAAGCATGAAGCCCTGAGTTCAAATCCCTGTTCCATCAAAAAGAATTCATCTGCCAATGGTGTATGATAGATATTGAACAGTGAAATTCTGAAAAAAAAGTACTGTATATAAAGTAATTATAACTATAACTAATATAAAAGATATGTAGCATATAATTAGAAAAATACGCAACACCCTTTATTGTATTGTAACTTCCATATAGCCAATTGATTCTCCACAGTATGTTTTCCTTGATTTTTGCTTAATCAACTTCTTAGATGAATTAGATAACAGTTTTTGAATTGCAGAACAATAGAGTTTTCTTCTTTTTTTACAATGCATTAGTTTTCAGATAAGACAAACTTTGAAGCTTTGTCTGCATTACTAACATATTCTCCTTTACTTTGTAATCTGGACTTAGGACTTTGGGCCAAATGTGGCCTGTGGCTTGATTTTATATAGTCTTTGACCTAAAAATTGTGTTTTTACATTTGTAAAGTGCTATAATCAAATCAAAAGCAAAAGCAAAGAATATGTAATGGAGACTGTATACATGCCTAACTTATTTATTATATGGCTTTTTGTTGAAGAAAAAGGGCTGACCCTGGGACAATCAACAAAACAATAAATCACTCCTTGATTTATAAATGGTTTACCAATTTTCATGGTGTAAATACTGCTGCCATGGCTGATTCAACCTGCACGTGTGACCTCATTGAAAATGGAGTTAGGATGAAAAGCACATAGCACCATATATAATATTTTTACCACATATAATGAAGATGTAAATAGCCACAAATGCATAGAGAATAATAAAGTACAGTAATATTAGAAAATTATAAAATGTTATTTTTTTATAATTATAATTTTGTTTTTAATATAAATTACTTATATTTTTTGATAATTTAATATTTATAATGGCTGTGTTCAGCAACTCAATTGCAAATTTCATGAAAATTAATAACTGGCTTTTGCAGACTTGTTTGAGTCAAGTCCATTTGCATTTGTAAATACCCTCTAGAATTGGAAAACCGGGGTATTAGGTAAAGTTCAAATCCATTGGGGAAAAAAATATCCTTTTTCTTCCTGCTAGCACAAATGTGAATTACCTATGAAATAATTTAATGAGATTTCCCCGATATCTTTGCAGTACGTTGACAAATTAGACATAATGGACCTCAAATGCCTTACTGACCAGAATCTAACGGAAAAGAATTGTGCAAAATTCACCCTCGTTTTGCCAAAAGAGGAAGTGCAACTGAAGGTGAGTGAGGAGAGACAGCAGTTTGTAAATAGTTATTATAATTAGCATTCACCTCTTAAAAACCAGTGGTTGAAATAAAAAGAAATTACAAGAGGGAGTGAGTCTTACCCTTTGTTAATATTTATCCCCTTTTGCCAAGAACTCCAGTCTTCTGGATTGGATTGTAGAAGAGCACGTTCATTTGTTTAGTACATAAACACAATGAGACCTTATACTTCATCCTCTGACAGAGGCAAGGGATCCACCTGGTGTTTTTTAAAAGTTGTTTTTGAATAAGCACTCACAGTGGGCTAATTAAAGTTAACCAACAACTGTAGCAATAACAAAAAAGAGAACAACTTGGAACTGATAAAGATGGTATTGGAGAAGTTCCCAAGAGATTACTGCTCGCTTCTAAAAGCAGCAGTCTTTAAATTTTAGAGTAATAACAATCCCCTTATTTAGGAAACCCAGGTCAAATCTAAACTTAAGACCCCCAAATCTACATTTTAAGCAAACTCTCCAGATGATTCCTGGGTACAGTGGCAAAGAGCACAGGTTTAAATATGGGCTGGTGTATACGTTGGCTGTGTGATTGTAGACAAGCTACTTAACCTCTTTTTGTACCTTTGTTTTGTCATTCAGAAAAAAATCTTTGCTTAGTTGCAATCCTCTCACTGGGGCCTAATGTAGACCACTTCATTAAAATTGCAAACTACCCTCAGTTACACTACCAATATGTTTTACCTTGCTCTACATTTTAATTTTTCCCTTTTATTGACTTCTGACACTATCAAATGTACTAATTATTATGTTTATTAGTTGTTCTTCCTTGCTAGACCTTAAACTCCATCAGAATAAGGATTTTTCCCAATCCCTAGAAAGAGGTCTTGTTCCCAATATCTAGAAAGAGACTCAATAAATCTTTCAAATAAAAAAAAAATCTATAATATAACGATAAAAAGGACCTTCTGCTGAATTGCCATGAAGATTGTCAAAGGACAAAATTATAACAATTTCATTTAAAAATCTTAATTGGCTTTATTTTCTATCCATAATACAGAACAGTAGAAGAGTCTGGTTGATTTCGTAGATAAAGGCTAAAAAAATTTTTTTAAAAAGTGAATTGGTCATTTCAAAGTTATTTTTCTGGTAAGGCAGAGATAGGAAGATAAACAACAGAAAAATAACTAATTGGCTAACATCAACTAATTGGCTAAAATCCTTACACATTTTGTGTAAGGATTAAGGCAGAGGGAACCTCAGACAGATAGCTTTTGTTTAGTGATGTGGAACTTTAGCATGAGTGACTTCATTCTGACTTTTAGATTGGTCAGTTGTGGCTAAGAGCAGGAGCTTATCCAAACAATGGCCTCCTCTAATGTTTATCTAACAAGATCAAATAAAGTAATACCTATAAAATTCTTGGCACAGCAACTGAGATTATAAGCACTCAAAAGATGTTATTATTAGTAGTAATAGTAGTAGTATTTAGAGCTAAGAAGTGAAAGTTTTACATTGGTTACCCCAAATATAAGTCAATGTTAAATACCAATGAAAAAAGAAAGCATTAATTGACATACTGAAGAAATAGATTTGCTAACTTTTTGTTGTTTTTTGTTGTACTGGAGTTTGAACTCAGAGCCTACACCTTGAGTCACTTCACCAGTCCCTCTTTTGTGAAGGGGTTTTTAAGATAAGGTCTGGTGAACTATTAGCCCGGGTTGGCAATCCTCCTGATCTCTGTCTCCTACATAGCTAGGATTATAGGTGTGAGTCACTGGCGTCTAGCAAGAATTGGTAACATTTTTTTCAGTAAAGTTTAAATTGGTATCATTTTTCTTGTTTAGTAAACAAATACCTTAAAGGTATATATTTCTGTTTTCTGATAAAATAGTGTTAAAATACTTTATAATTAATATATGTTAATAGTTTTGAAACAGGAAAATGAATTTTCTTCCTTTCAAGTGATTTTAAGTAATTTTAAAAATTACATCTGCCTTTTTCAAACAATGTGCTCTAATTAGAAGAATATGCATTTTTGTCAGTTTTGCTGGATTTAAATGACTTTCATGTCTTGTCATAAAATTATTGTATGCAATTCTAAAGTTATTTGAAGTTAAAGTATTAATGCTCAGTCAGTGATGTGTTTTCTCCTTTGTCTTAATCTGTTTTTGCTTTCATCTTTAGACAGAGAACACAGAAAATGGGGAAGAATGGAGAGGTTTTATTCTTACAGTAACAGAGGTAGGAAAGTCAATCCTTTTTTGAAGCCCAGTATGGGTTTGAACTCAAAATCCTCTCAAGTGCTGAATTACAGGTGTGCACTAACACACTCAGCAGGCTGTTACTTTTGAGATTTAAAAAAATTATTATCATATTATTGTTGTTCTGGGAGTACATCATGACATTTACAAAAGTTCTTACAATATATCACAGTTGAATTTACCCCCTCCATCAGGTCATTACTTTTGATTGATTGATTTATTCAACAAATATTTGCTGAACACTTACTGTAAACCATGTAGAGTAAAAGTGGCTAAAGATGCAACATTTAAATAAAGACAGATTTAAACCCTTGCACTTGCCCCTGAAAGGTATATTTTTATCATGTGGGCAGAGATGGAGAAAGTTAACAAAGAAACAAACAAGGTCATTTCACATTGTGATAATTGTTATGCAGAAAATAATATGTTAGTGAATAATAGGTAATCAGGGAGATCAACTTTTACCATCTTATCTTTTCTGGCACAGCAGTTCTTTGTATATTCTGACATTTGTAACTTACATAGCATCTTCTAAAATAATTTCTAATCCTTTTTTATTCATTTATTGACATGGGTTTTATGAATAACATATACAATATAAAAGGGACAGACCATTAAAATGAAAACTCATCTTTAAATTTTCATTTAGTGCGACTTAAAAGAAAAAGAAAGGGACATTTATCTGTTCAACTGGTGGCATCTTATCAGAGGCAAATAGTAAGATCTGCTTAGAGTTAACTGTTGCAATAGATAAGCATCATTAATTTGAATAAAGCTACTGTAGCAACTGTCTTGGAAACATGGGATACTTTGATAACCAGCCACCCCTGAAGCACCATGTTCTCCAGTACTTTCAGAGGATATGAAAATTTTCCAGGTATTAGTGTCAAACATGGATGCTATCCAAAGCTAATTTTCAAGTAAAGCCCTTTCAGTCCCATGAAATAAAGCCTGCACTTTACTAAGATGTTGGATGAAGACCTGTATTAGGTGAAGGTTGGAGGTTCAACTACATATGAGGAAGTCATAAGAGGCTAGAAAAGCAGGCCCCTTAAAAATGTGAAAGACATGTTGACTTGTTGAGGGGTGGGAGAAGAAAGTGTTCAGAAAATTGCTCTTTCTCCCTTTGTTATGTTCCATTGTGCTTGGTTTTTTTTTGTGTGTGTGTGGTACTGGTGCTTGAATGCAGGGTCTACACCTTGAGCCACTCTACCAGACCCTTTTTGTGAAGGGTTTTTTTGAGATAGGATCTCGCAGAATTATTTGTCTGAGCTGGCTTGGAACCTCGATCCTTCTGATCTCTGCCTCCTGAGTAGCTAGGATTACAGGCATAAGCCACTGGGGTGCCTGGCCAATGTGCTTCTTACTTAGGATACTTGTATCCTCTTCTATGCTCTCAAGGGTGTGTGACTAGGCTTCAGGAGAATTACTAAGTCCACTGGAAAAAAAATTTGGTACATCTTCCTGATATGCTAATAGTCTGGAAGTTTTGGGTAAACATTTTGTTTTTAGTTTTTTCCTTGAAGTTAAGGGAAAAAAGCACTACTTTTATATTAAAACAAACACAAATATGGTATAGAATATAAAATAAAATTCATGTAAATTTTCCAGACAGGAAAAGTCTCAAATTTAATGTTTTATAAATGTTTTGTGCTGTGCTCCCATGCACACTGACACTGCACTGTTAGAGCTGTAGTAGAGAATGAAGAGAAGCACAGACTACAGAGACATTGCTTTTGAATCAAATAAAATGAGTCCTGGTTCTATGACTTGTTTGTTTTTGTATATATTTTTCATTTGTGAAGTGTGGAAATAATACCTGTCTTACAGCATTGCTGTATGTATTTTCAATAATACATGTACAATGTTTGATATAATAGGCAATTAATAAGATTTGGCTGAAAGAAAAAAGTAAAATAAATTTAAAAATAAAGAGCAATTATTTTATAGTTTCTGTTTCTTCTGGTTTGGAACATAAAGAAATAGCTTTGGGCTGGAAGAGTGGTTCAAGTGGTAGAATGCTTGCCTAGTAAGCGTGAAGCCCTGAGTTCAAGTCCCAGTACTGCCCCAAAATTGCTTTAATAGTTATTAGTTTCCTCAGTGATTTAAAAGAAGGGTCTCTAAATCTTTTTGGTTATGTACCCCTATTAGTAAATTTTTATTTAAATGTCACCTGTAAAGACATACTTAATAAGCCCTGGAGATGTGACTTAAGCAGTAGAGCATCTGCCTAGCAAGGGTAAGGCCCTGTGTTCAAATCTCAGTACCACAAAAAACAAAACACCAAAGATACACATAACAAAACATAAACAACGATGCAAAGTAATGAAATAGTAACTAAATGAAGAGTGAACATCTAGTGTTTTCTTCCCACACTCAAGTGTACTTTCATGTATATGCCCTGGGATGTATACATTCCCCTTGGTGATAAAAACCATAATCAGACATGGTTATCTCCAAATATACACTAACTAGTGTCACATCTAGAAAACTATCTACTGTTTAAACTGTACTTCTCAAAAGAATATAGCTGGTCATAATGAGGTACTAAATCAGTGATATGAATACAATTATGGTGACTCAATTCAAAATACATTTCTAAAAAGTAACAACAATAACAACAAAACTGGGGGGGTGGAGGAGGTGGCCCCAATAATGTATACACATGTAAGTAAATGTAAAAACAATAAAATTACAACAAAACCAACCAATATATACCAAAATAGATATCTTTAATTACTAAACTTCTGCCTAGCTCCATCTCAATCCCATGTTACCATAATATGGTGGAGAATATTCCAAGTTTGCTTGTGAGAGAATGAGGTACAACACAGGTGATTTCGGACTTTCCTGGCATTGATGAACTAGTGAGCTGAGAATTTAAAAAAAGAGAGAGTTGTTACTCTAATTAGCTTGTAGTTCAGGGTAGGTGACTTTACTTTGGGATCCGATCAAAAAAGAAGACTTCTTGGAAGAAGGGTGGATACCCTGTTCAGATTTTAGTTGGTGTGCAGGTAGTTCTAAAGATGCTCACCCGAGATGGAAATTTATTCATGATGATTCTACTCATCCATCTGTGTCAGGTAACTAAAGCTCTTTGGACCACTGCAAGTTCATCTTTACTAAAAATCAGTATGTAATTTAGCTATCTTTCTAGTCTACTTACTGTTTTAATTGGTTTCAGCTGTCAGTTCCCCAACATGTGTCACTTCTACCTGGCCAAGTAATTAGACTGCATGAAGTCCTAGAGAAAGAAAGGAAAAGGAGGATTGAGACAGTGCAGCTTCCAATTACATCTGTGGAAAAAGAGAAGGAACCAATTGAAGATTATGTGGATGTCCTGAATCCTATGCCAGCGTAAGTGTACAATGAACATCAGTTTGCTCTTTCAGTTGTTAAGACCAAGTTCTAATTCATTACCAAGTATATACCATGTGACCTTATTAAACTAGGGACACTAAATAGTCTTGGAGATAAACTGTTTATCTCTGAGCACCTGCCACATTTCTTCTATGTCATGTTCAACATAATGCAGATTTGAACCAACTCTCTTACCACACAGGAAATCCCCTCCTACCCACATCTTCATACCAAATAGACATTCTTTCCGGAGTTCAAACCTAAATAAAAGTTCCTATGAAGAAGGAAGGAAAAGATAGTTTTTCAACATACAACAATATAATTAACTGATTTTTCTACTACAAATTTTACTGAACAATTTTAAATACTCAGAATGTCCTATTCAGCTGATCAATCTGTGGGTAGTCATTGAGCTTATACTTTGAGAAAGGCCCCATGTAAAGTATGTAACGTATTGTTGTAAAAACCAAGGGGCACAGAACATGCTTAATTCAGTAACATCCTACATTTACTCCTATATTGTTGAAAAAATTATGAACCTTTTCCTTCTGGAATCTTGGCGTTCTTGTCAATGAAACTTGCCTTAGTACTATCTTTGACATCAGGTTCTAATGCATCGTCTACCTGTACTACAATCATGAAGACCTGCCAATCATCACTTTTAGCTGAAACCAAAAACAACTGATGGGCTAATAAGATAAAATTCATGCAGACTGCTTCTTTTTCCTTTAATAGAACAAGTGATATGCTTATTACAGATAAAAAGATTAAAATCATTCCTTGTCACACCACACAGATATTGCCATCAACTTTACTTATTTTTGGTGATATCAGAAATTGAACTCAGGGCCTTGAGCTTGCTAGACAGGTGCTCTACCATTTGAGTTATGCCCCCAGCCCTTGTCATTAATGTTTTTTTTTTTGCAGTACTATGGTTTGAACTCAGGGTCTACATCTCAAGTCACTCTGCTAGCCCTTTCTTGTGATGAGTTTTATCAAGATAGGGTCTCATGAACTATTTGCCTGGGCTGGCTTCGAACTACCATCCTCCTGATCTCTGCCTCCTGAGTAGCTAGGATTTACAGGCATGATCCACCTATGACCAGCCACTATTAACATTTTTGATGTATTGCATATTCTGCCAGATTTTTTCCTATGGTTCACTGATTACAATATATATTATAAAAATGGGAAGGGCTTCATTTTTAATTTTTTTGCATAAAATACCACCAATGCTGTAGAAAGACATATTGTACCAAAGGAGTGAGTTCAGACATATCTTTAATACCAATTGTTTAAAACAGCCCTAAAAGAGAAGCATTTAAAGATGTTTGTATCCCTGAAAGATAATCTCCAACAAGTATTAGTCCAAGATGCTGTTTGTCAGCAACCATGATGCAGAGAATTATTCTTCTTTGGAAATATGAGCCTAAGGCTTGGTAGTGACAGCAGAAAACTACTCCATCACTTTCTGGCAACATGGGGACACAATGTTAGTTGTCTTAGAAATGGTAATGGTGATTGTATACTGATCAGTAGAAAACTATTTAGTTCAGTGCCACTTTGTTTAAGGAGGCATGGTGGGGCAGGCCTATTCTCCCGGCACTTGGCAGGCTGAGGCAAGAGGATTGCTAGTTCAAGGCCAGCCTGTGCTACACAGGGAGACCTTGTCCCAAAACAAACAAAGACAAAAACAAACAAACAAACAAGCAAACAAATATAAGAAAAGGAGTCTTATGAAGAATAAGGAATGAGGCCTTGGTATTAGCATACTTGTAGTGGTATGGGCTTGTAATAATAGACAATTATATAACTACAATTCTATAAGTCTATGGTTCTTTTTTTTGTGGTAGTGGGGGTTGAACTCAGGGCCTCATGCTTGCTATGCAAGTATACTACCACTTAAGCTACTCCATCAACCCTATAATTATATAATTGTAATAGTGAAACCGTTAAGTTTTAAAAAAACAATTGCGCTCCCAATGTTTTTTGTTTTGTTTTGTTTTGTTGCAGTGCTAGGGATTGAACCCAAGGTTCTTGGAGCCACTCTGCAAGCCCTTGTTTTTGTTTTGTTTGTTTGTTTTTGAGATGGTGTTTTGCTATATAGCCCAAGTTAACCCACAATTCACAATCCTGCTACGTCAGCCTCCCCAGTGCTGGGATGTGGGTCACCACACCTGGCTTCTCAAAAGTATCTTGTTAGCATTATTTTCAAGTAATGGTCTTCATTGTTTAATAAAAATCTTTTTTTCTTTTAATCTCATTTCTATAGATGTTTTTATACAGTTTCCCGGAAAGAAGCAACTGAGATGCTGGAGAAAAATCCTTCTTTGGGAAATATGATCCTGAGGCCTGGTAGTGACAGTAGAAACTACTCCATCACTATCCGTCAGGAAATAGAGTATGTTTAATGAAAATATGTATAGAATTGTTAAAAGCATAACATTGCTTTAGAGATCAAAGTCACACAAGTTCAAATCAGTACCTGCTGTTTGTTTGGTTGGGGCTAAAAATATAAACACAAGAATAGGGAAGGAATGTCTTTACCACAGTTAATATTTGCAATAGGGGTGCAAATAAGGGAATACTTTGGTCCTGGATATAGTTGTATTGTTCATTCAATTCAACAAGTACTTATTGAGTAGATAATGTGTATGAAGTATTTCTCTAGGTACCAGGGATACAGAAGTTAAAAAAAAACAAAACAGCTCAGGTTTCAAGGAGTTTACATTCTTGTAAGGAGACAGACTATAAATAAATATATAACAAAAAATATCAGCTGGTGGTGGTGACTCACCCCTGCAATTCTAGCTAATTCAGAGGCTGAGATTGGTAGGATCAAGGTTCAAGGCCAGCTGGGAAAATAGTTGGGGAAAACTTATCTCTAAAATAACCAGAGCAAAATGGACTGGAAGTATGGTGCAAGTGGTACAGCACTTGCTTTGTGAGCACCTGCTTGCAAGCTTGAAACCCTGAGTTCAAATCCTAGTCAGCAGGGGTTCTACCACTTGAGCCACTCCACCAGCCCTGTTTTGTGTTGGGTATTTTCGAGATAAGGTCTCCAGATTTATTTGCCTAGGCTGGCTTCAAACCATGATCCTCCTGATGTCTGCCTCCCAAGTAACTTATAGGCATGAGCCACAGGCACCCAGAAAGAGGTGTGTGTGTGTGTGTGTGTGTGTTTGTGTGTGGTACTGGGGTTTGAACTCAGAGCCTCATGCTTGCTAGGCAAGTATTTCACCACATAAGCCATGCCCCCAGCCTAAGAGAACATTTCTATGGTTGCTGTTATATTAATATAGAGTGGTTACAGAAAGTCTACTTAATTTCTTTTTTGTTTTTGAGAGAGAGTCACATTATGTAGCCCAGACTAGCTCAGGTTCCAAAATGCTGGGATTACAGAAGTGTGCCACCCCACCTGGCTGATTAACTGACATTTAAGCAGAAATCTAAGAAGAGTGAAAAAACACATGGAGCCAGTATCTGGGGCAATAGCTTTCCAGGTGGCAAGTGCATGTGCCCGGAGGGTTCAAGTAGTAGAGCGCCTGTCTAGCAAGCATGAGGCCCTGAGCTCAAACCCCAGTGCTGAAAAAAGAAAGGCAGAAGAATGTTTGGATTGTTCAAAAAATGGAAAAAGGCCTTTGATCTACGATGGAGTGAGTAAGGATACAAGGGACAGGAGAAAAGATTCCAAAGGTGGGGCAGGGACAGATCACTCAAAATGGAGACACAAGTTTTGCTCTGAATGAAAGGCTTCTGGACTGTTGACATAATCTCATTTATCTGTAAAAAGGGCTACACAGGAACCTCTTCCTAAGGTTAATAACTATTTATGTTTTTTAAAAGTGGTTTATCTTTGATCAACTAACAAACACAAAAGTTAGTTTTTGTATGTACTTAGGGGAATTGGATCTTTCCATACTGGCGTTTGCACTTGCTAGGCAGGTACTTTACCCATGACTGGATCTTTTAAGGGCCATTCCAGTTTTCAAAGACCATGAAAACTTGGATTTCAATAGACACTCTGGCTTAGTTAACACTTTCATTACTGATAATTTAATTGAAATCTAAGGGCTTTTGTCCTACTTGTAAATACAAAAGCATAGATAGAACTTTCTTAAATTTGCTATTTTTTTGTGGGGATAATACTGTTGTAAAATATCTTCTGATAAATATATCCATCCATTCCATAAATATCTGTCATTCTAAACAGATTGAATATGAAGACATTGACAGTTAATAAAAGCAATAAAAAAAATCATCCAGGTGCCAATGGCTCACACCTATAATCCTAGCTACTTGGGAGGCTGAGTTCATGAGACCCCCATCTCCAAAATAATCAGAGCAAAGTGCACTGGGGGTATGGCTCAAGTGTTAGAGCACTTGCTTTGCAAGCACGAAGCCCTGAGTTCAAACCCTAGTCCCATCAAAAAAAAACTGGAGGAAAAAGTAAAAATTTTGGCATTAGGGCTAGCCATGGCCCAAGAGGCTTCATTCACTTGCTAATCACCCCATATAGATACTTGTCTTTATAAAGTGATGCCATGTTCACTGTACCAGACAGCAAGAAGTTAAATGGTCTATGTGTATCTCTATAATTTTCCACAATGAATAGCTGTTACTCTTCTTGTGGCTTTCTTATGTTTTCTGTTTATTATTAGTTTATAGCATGTGCTATAATAATGTAGGCTATTACAAGCTAAACATTAACAGTAGATTTTTAACTCCACTAAAATATAGTATTTTTTAGTTATAACTTACCTGATTTATAACTTAGTTGACTATCTTGAAACAAATCCAAAAGAAATTAAAAACTGTAATTTCCATTAACCAGTGAGCTTAAAACTCCTGGGAGAAAAGTGAATTTGTTTTATGTTGTTTCTCTTGTTCAAAGAATTTGTCCTTCTACAGGGTTTGAGTATCACATAAAGTAAAAAATATCTTCTTTTCTTTTTTTCATTTTTATTAGCATATATCCATTATTCAGGCGGGTTCATTGTTAGAATTCTTTATAGTCCCTTGCCAAAAATACAGAATATCTTAAACTGTTCATTTCCACTTTGAAAAAAATATGAGGATATAAAACCAAATTAAAATTTACATAGATTTTTGTTGTTGGTGGTGGTAGTATTAAGGGTTGAACTCAGGACCTCGCTCTTGCTAGACAAGGGCTTTACCACTTGAGACACCCTTTTAGTTTTCATCCCATCATTTTTAGTTTGTTTTTTAGGCAGGGTCTTGTACTTTTGCCCATGGCTGGCCTCAGCCTCTGCCTCTCAAGTAGCTGGGATTGTAGGCATGCACACTACCATGCTCAGCCTAGAAGTTTTGTTTTTCTTTTATAGAAACATAATCTAAGTTCGTGAAAGCAAAATTAGGATACGCAAGAGAGCGATTAATTTTTCCCCCCTAATGTCATTCCTTTCTTGGTCTGTTTGATCAATTTGCATATGAACCTTGTGTAAGTATTCTTCATGAAATGAACAAAATCCCAAGACCTAATGGCTCTTTAAATATGATTTCCTGGATGGTAGCAGCTTGCTGTTATGAAAGTAGTCTCAATTAGCCTAACTTTTGGATTACATTTTGCATAAAATTGAGCTATGAGAAACAATAGTTTTCTGCTACAATGTGGATTATGACCAAATGAAATAAGTATCTATATTTAGGATATGAATTTAATTTCACAGCAAGCTATAAGCAAGTTATGTATTTAAGCTATATTTTAAACTCAAGAAAATGCTGGGAAAAGGAGCTCATATGAAAGTTAACATAATTCTAATTTTATTTATTTTTTGGTGGGACTGGAGTTTGAATTCAGGGCTTCTCTCTGGGAAAGAAGTTGTTCTACCACTTGAGCTACACCTCCAGTCCATTTCAGTCTGGTTAATTTGGAGCTGGGGTCTTGTGAACTATGCCCAGGCTGTCCTCAAATTGAAATCTTCCTGATCTCAGTCTCCTAAGTAGCCAAGATTACAGGCATGAGCCACAAGTGCCTCATCATAATTCTAATTTTAGTAAGCTCACTTCCAGTTTGAAGTCAAATGATGGTCATAAAAACATAGTATTTTATGAAAAACTAACCCCCTTCCGGTTCACATTTAGAAAGCAAGACGTGAAGTGGGATGTCCAAACTAAAATATTCTAACACTGGGGTCAGTATGTGCTTATTTATGCTTTGGAGAATAATTTACATATGGAAGTGGCTTACAAAAGCTTTAACTGTTATTACACAAATTTTTCTTATGAGCCAGGTACATCTATAATGTTAACGATTATTATTTCTGTTCTCTAATGCATCAAAACAGGCCTTTTAGGATGTCTGAATTTAGTATCTTCTATTGAACATGTCATTTGATTTTTAAGGATAACAGTTGTAGAAAGTATTAGAATTCTAGTTTGTGAGGGTGTAGAGCTTTTATAAAGAATTTAGTAGAAATTTAGACTATTAAGAAGCACCCAAAATCTTCCCACAGAAACCAATTTATCCTCTTAGGTATAAATTACAGGATAAATGTTCAGCCATGCGAGTAAGATGTGTGTCTGGTAAAACATTAGCTGTAAAGGACAAGTTGGTTTACAAAACAATACTTGAAAGTAAAATTTTTCCATGTGCTAATAGATCAGCTGTGGGAGGGAAGCCTATTCTCAGAAATAAACAAAACTCATCAGTGCCAAGACTCCTTTCTTGGTGTAGAATATCATCCATGTTTACCCAGCTCAGTGGCACATGAATTCATAAGATGTAAAAACATTCTTACAACAAACACTGTGTTTTGCTTTTATTTTAGTGAAATTGTTATGACTAGGTGCCATGCATTTTGGAAAGTCATTAGCTAAGGAAGCTGTAAAAAATATCTACCCCAAATTCATTCTTTTGCAAAAATTGAGATCATAAGCTAAGAATAAGAACTTACAAACACATTTAAGGCCACACAACTTTTTTTTTTTTTTAAAGACGAGTTACTTCAAAATCACTCATAATCAAGAAACCATATAGCAGTAAATTTTTATCAATCTTGTTTTTCCTCCATCTTTATTCCTTTGGAGAATCAAACCAAACCAAAACATGGAAGAAAACAAAAATTTAAAGTAAGAGTCAAAGCCTCTCTTTTGCTTCTGAATTTAGTTCTGTTAGTCAAAAGTTCTAAGAGATGCTGATGCTATTGTCCTTGATCACTCTTCCTCCCACAGCTTCACCATGGGTGATGACAGTGACATGATGGCCAACACTAGCAACGATCATCATCCCACTCATATAATACCATTTATGGGCCCTTTCTTGAGTGCTGACAAACATTTCCTTCACGCACAATAAAAAAATTGAGACAGATAGTATTTATGAATGAAGAGGCCAGACTCACAGAAACTACCAAATAAAAGCAATAGACTTAAAATGTAGTAAAAAAACATTTATAATTCACTGAGTGGTGAAATGTTCAGATAGTGTACTAGGGCTTTGTCAGCATTAATGGCCCTGTGAAGTAAGCCATAATTATCTTCATTATCTTTTTTTTTTTTTTGGTGGTACTGGGGTTTGAACTCAGACTTTCATGCTTGCAGTTGCTCTACAACTTGAGCCTCTCCACCACCCCAACTATCTTCATTTTATAGATTAAAAAATAGAAGTTTAGAGAGTACACATGACAGACCCAGAATTTGAACCAAGTTTTTTTTTTTTTTCTTATCAACCTTCCAAGACTGCAATCCCAGACATTTGGGAGTCAGAGATCAGGAGGATCACACTTCAAGGTTAGTCCAAGTAAAAAGTTATGGAGACCCAATGTCAACCAACAAACCAGGCGTGGTGGTGCATGCCTGGTAACCCCAAGTAGGTTGGAGGCCAGCTCAGGCAAAAAAATGTGAGATCTTTTCTGAAAAATAACCTAAAGCAAAAAGAGCAGGAGGCATGGCTCAAGTAGTAGAGTGCTTGCCTAGCAAGCATAAGCCCTAAGTTTAAAACCTAGGACTGCAAAAACAAATACAAAAAACCTAAACCCCTCCTCCCCAAAACACACTTCCAAAGGATATAAATCCCTTACATCATTTATTTCTTAGGATACAATAATTCTAATTGAAAGTGAAGTGTTTTCAATAGTAATTATCTGATTACAAAGACCTTTCATGGTCAGGGTAGAGATAAAGCCAGAGCCAATCACCCTGAAAGAGTACATGTAAGACCTCCTCTGTCCTCTGTTTAAAAATGTTTCTTTAGCCAGTCTATTAACTGATTCCTAAAGTTGCAGCATTAGGAATAATTTTTTTGGAAAAGACAGGGTAAGAGGGTTGGTTAGATTTTATCCCATGTTTTGTATGTATGCCATCGGAATTAATTTAGCTGTTTTCCAATGCGGTGTCCAGTTTGTAGGAGATTTGGATATAATGCTGGAAAAGAATAGAGTCTCCTGAACAGAAGGCTTCTGTATAGTTCAACCACACAGTTATATGAAGTGGATAAGGAGAAAGAAGTGATTAGAAATATAATAATAAAAAAGTAAAGAGGTCCTGTAAACCAGCTTCACCTGTTGAACAATTTTGGTTTCGACAACTTCTGAAATGTAGAACAAAAGTTAGATTAGTTTGTCATTCAAACAAATGACATCTTAATAAATGCTCTTATCTTTTAAACATTAGAAAAAGTTTTGGTTCTAAACACTCTTGCCATATGAATGAAAGTTTGTTCAAGGCTAACCGGCAGGGACACTGTCTTCAGCATACATTTGTTTAGTTCCAGCCTACAGCTCTATGAGATGGGCTCTTAATACTTAAGATTCAGTTTCATAAATATTTATTGTGTGCCCAATGCTGGAATATAAAGATGATAGAATATGTTTTTTATTCTCAAGTGGTTCATAATTGATAAGATAATATGTGTTTATGGTGGTAATAATTTACAGGGCCAGATATCTGTAGACGAGAAAGACATTAAGATGCACCAACTACACTTGCTATGGAGTGCTATCTGGTTGATAGTGATCCCGTAGCGTAGAAAACACTTTGATTTCAATTATTCTTTCTACTTTTCTTTTCAATGTGTGTGTGTGTGTGTTTGTGTGTGTGTGTGTGTGTGTGTGTATGGTGCTGGGGTTGAACCTAGAGCCTCACGCTAGCTAGGCAGATGCTGAACCACTTGAGCTACTCCACGAATCCTCTCCTTCTCTTTTTAATATCAATATTTGATTTCTACATCCCTACATAAGATTTTATAAGGTTGTCTACTTTCAGGTTACTGACATTTAAGAAAAATTAGTTCTGAAAGATCTTTAGTTCTTGTTTTTTTTTTCTCTCTTTTATTATTTCTCATTAATCTATTTAATGACCCAGATTTCCTATAAATCTAGTATGTAATGTTGGGAACTAAACACCACAGTCTGACAAGGTCACTGTGGCTTAGCAGCATTCAGACAAGGTCGGAATCTGCAGGTACACCATGCCTCTGTCACGGTGGGAAGGAACACTGAATGGTTTCCCTTGACTGAAAAGAAGTTTATACTTAGTCAAGGACACTGGCAGTAAAAATGCAGGATGGCAAAAACAGAAAGGTTGTAACTAGGTCAGTGTTTTGATGTTTAAGTCTCTTCCTCTTTTGTATAAAGCTTGCTGAAAAAAGTAAAATTTTGCCAGTTGGTCATCAGCCTGCTGGCCCTCTCAATATGTGTTTTGTCATTCCCTTTCTGAGTGAGTGAGTCCTTTTGTATGTCCTGTCTTGTTCATTCCTTTCTTGAGCCCTTTTGGGTCAAGGACGTCTGCGATCCCAGCAATGTAATCTCTCAAAAGAGACATGGTAAACCAGACCAAGTGAAATCACCGAGGATTTTTTTTTTTAAACTATAGTCATGGCACACAGGTTTACCACACGGGTCATATTTTACACTTGCTTTAGTTTACATTGATCCAATCATATTTGTTTCATTTTAGCATGCCAAGAATCAAGCACTACAAAGTGATGAGCATAGGAAAAAACTATACCATTGAACTGGAAAAACCTGTAAGTAACCATTTCTTTCCTGTTGATGAACTTGCTTCTGGTGGCTTACAACCTTACCTTTATACAATGCAAAGAAAAGTGGGAAAGCAGACTTCTTCAATAGGGACCCAGTGCTGAACAAAAGCAGACAAGACCTGCAGGAGGCAGATATCCATGGTGAGAATAAACAGGGTGCAAGAACAGGGATATAAGGTAGAGTAGAAGGTAATTTGCTTCTAAAAATTCTTTCCACTTTTCTTTTTCTGCAAACCTTTATTGATATAATTGTTTGAGGGAGGGAAAAATATTTTTTATTAAACATCTGTTTTATACCTCCCAATTGTAAGTATTTAGACTTGTTTATACCTAAAGGGATGAAATGTGTGAATGCCTATTTCTCAGACACATACCATGAAGAAGTTCAGAAATCCTTTTTTTCTTTTTTTTGGTGGTGGTGGTACTGGGGTTTGAACTCAGAGCTTTACACTTGCTAAGCCAGGTGTTCTACCGCTTGAGTCACTCCACTTGCCCTATTTTTTTTGTGTTGGGTATTTTAAAGACAGGGTCTTGCAAATTATTTGCCCAGGCTGGCTTTGAACTGTGATCCTCCTGATCTCTGCCTCCTAAGTAGCTAGGATTATAGGTGTGAGCCACTAGCATCCAGCCAGAAATGTGGGTGGGTACCAATGAAAAAAGGTTTCTTCTTTGTCTTTAACCCCTTTCCCACCCTAACTGACTTACAATATACTAATGATAAAAGATCTTAGCTTACCCACAAGATACCATGTGAGGCACAGAGCTAAGCAACTTGCATATATAATTTAATTTAGTCTTTTTCATTACTCTGAGGTGGATATTGTTATGCCTATTATATAGAAGACTAGCCTCAACCAATAGAAAGGTGATCTGGCCTAATACAGGATGCCTTAAAAAAAAAAAAAAAAAAAAGGAATATTGCTGTGATTTTAGACTTCAGTGATGGGAAGATTTAGCCAGGAAAGATGTCTCTGAATAGAATTTAAATAGAACTGGTGGGTCTTGAAGACATTTATATTTCTCTAAAACTGAACTCCTAACTCCTCCAACTCTCCAGGTACACTGTGTTGAAAAAGGGACATTGTGACTGAATTTCTTATATCGCAACTTTAACCCTTAGAGAGATGCTGATTCATACAACTCTCACTTTGCCATAAATGCCATCCAGAGCTTTCTTAAGTCCATGCGTATTGGGCTTTAACATAAAGTTCTAATGAAGCAGGGAGAGAACAAGATTGCTAAGAGATCATCCAAATCATCAAGTGACTAGAGTAATGTCAGAGCAGAATAATGTAACTGACACATCTTTCTACCTGGTATACTAGGTTCATTTCTTCTATTAGCCTGTACAGTCCACAATGAAAGGATAAAAATTAACAACTGGATTATCCCTTCACCTTTCGCTCTCAACTCTACCTCTCCCCAGGTTGCATTTTAATGAATTCTTTTACTCTTCAGGGTTTAGGGGGTAAAGACACATTTCAATTTACTCCTAGACCAGTAAATATCCTATTACTATATATATAGATATCCCATATGTATATATATATATTATTTTTCTTTTTTTTTGGAGATACTGGGGTTTGAACTGGGCTTCACACTTGGTAGGCAGATGCTCTACTGCTTGATATTGTGCCTTCGGCCACAATAAGATATTAAAATGCTTAAATTCTCTGGCCTTCTTTGGCTTCAAGCAAAGGAATCCAACTATGCCTATCTTAAGCGAAAATGAATTTATTATAAGAATATAGAATGTTTTTATAATAAATATTCTGAAGGCTAGCACATTTCCAGGAACTAGGAAGCGGTTACTTACATGAATAATTACTTGATTAGGAAGCTGCTATCCTTTCTCATTCAAGTTCAAATTTCAGAAAGGGAGAGTTTTCTGGCCAACTTGAGTCATTCTTACTGCTTACCTGGGAGAGAGTAAGGTACCTAAGTATTGTGGCAGGAAGGCAGGGAGGGGGAGGGAGATAATGAGTGCTACAGTGAAACAAAGAAAAACTGGAGTTGGGAAATGTAACCTGGAGACCAGAGAAGGGTCAACCTGGCCCCAGAGGTTAAAGTGGTCAATGAAATAACACGTGATTATGTATGGGACAAGCTGTACCCCTCATTTCCGTAACCCACTCTAAATGGTATATAGGAAGGCCCCATTTGTTCTCGGGGCTCAGCCTGAGTCGCTGCTGGGGCCTGCTTAATAAACTTACTTCCCGAAAGCTTTTGTGTCCTTTCTGTCTCTGTCTGAGCTCTCCTGCAACAGTATTGTTTACCAGACTAAATCCAATTCAAAAAGGGAATTCCTCAACAGAGAACTGATAAGTTCTCTACTTTCTACAGTTCTAGGAAGAATAAGTAAGACGCATAGACATAGTTAAGTAAGCCACTGACATATTTTCTAGAGGTCAGGAAATGCACAGAAATCTCTATTAAATTGCAATCGAAACTTCTCTTACTCTAGCTTTTTTTTTTTTTTTTGTGGGGGGTGGGAGGTGGGGACTGAACTCAGGGCCTTGTGCTTGTTAGTCAAACACTCTATCACATGAGCCACTCACCCAATCCTTTTACCTTTTGTCTGTTTTCCAGATTGGGTCTCATGTTTTTGCCCAGGCTGGCTTTGGACCACAATCCTCCTACCTCTGCCTCCTGGGGAGTTGGGATTACAGGTGTGCATCACCATGCTTGGCTTGTTTTTAGAATATGGGCTTGCTAACTTTTGCCTGAGCTGGCCTTGAACCGCAGCCCTCCAATCTTTACCTTTTAGGTAGTTGAGATGACAGGTTCACGCCATCACGCTTGGCTCCATCAATGTTTACCCAGGTGATACTGAGCCTTCTCTCACTTTCTGTTTGTACAGGTAACACTTCCAAACCTGTTCAGTGTCATTGATTATTTTGTGAAGGAGACTCGAGGAAATTTAAGACCATTTATATGTTCAACTGATGACAGCCTTGGTATGTACTTCACTTTATCACTATATTAAGGACAACAAAACAGAACAAAACTCAAAAGAATGTGATACAATTTCTAACAGTAGCTATGTAAGAACTGTAGTTCAGCTTTTATTTTATTTTTAATGTGGTGCTGGGGTTTGAACTCAGGGCTTCATATCTGCAATGCAAACACTCTACCACTTGAGCCATGTCCCCAGCCCTCTAATCTAGCTCTTGTAGTTATCCATTTAGAGGCAGGAGCTGGTGGCTCACATCTGCAATTCTAGCTACTCAGGAGGCAGAGAGCAGGAGGATCGCAGTTTGAAGCCATCCTGGGCAAGTAGTTCCAAGAGACCCTATCTTGAAAAAACCCTTCACAAAAAACAGCTGGTGGAGTGGCTCAAGGTATAAAGCCCCAGTACCACACACACACATACACATTATCCATTTGGAAATCACTTTGTCACTGAATCTGTGAAAATAAGGGACTACCAATATATCCTTTTATATGAGGCCATATATTTTAACTATTGACTTTATTCCATCATTCTGCTTGACTTTATCAAACAAGTTCAGAGATAAGAGAAAACCATAATCACATAATCATGGAAACCAAATAGAAAATATAAAGGTATAAAAGGATGGTCTGCCAACAATGTCAGATGCCGAAGACAGGCCAACACGGATGAAGATGAAGGACAGACTGGAACTGTTCATTAGGTAATAGATGACTTATGAGTTTTATTCCACTCTGAAGGTAGAGGTCAGATGACAAGATAATAAGGAATGAGTGTGTAGTGAGGAGCTACGGATAATGTTGTAGTTAGGACCAGCCACAATATTAGTCAGTTCTTGTTCATAAATTAAGAATTTCAAAATAGTAATACAAACCATTAAACCAAGCATGGGACCCTGTGCAAATGCATGGCTCACCTGCCCATGAAATTGGTTCTGTTTGTGTTCCAGTTTTGGCAGAGCAAGACAGACAGGTGTAATAGTTTCTAGCCTTTCAACAATTCCTACAACACGTCATTGGGCAAGCTGTAGTAGGAGAGATAAAGTATTTCCAGCTTGTTTGGATTTCAGTTACCAAAACAGTTCATGTTTCTAAATATTATAAGGGAAAACATGGCTACTTGCACAAGAGGCATATCTGAAAAAATCTTACTAATTAAAGGAACTTCAAAAATTATAGAGTACAGTGACTTTTTTGTGTGGGGAGTCATCCATGCACTTGGTATGGGAAACAGCTCTAAGATGTGACCATTTGGATTGTTTAAAAATTTCTTGGGTTTTTTTTGTGGTACTGGGGTTTGAACTCAGGGCCTCACACTTGCCAGGCAGGTGTTCTACTGATTGGGACATTCTGCCAGCCTGTTTTAAAAATGGCTTAATATTAGGGGTTCACTGGTTTTTTGAGGCAGCACAGTTTACTTACTTCTCTGTATGTTGCCTAATTTCTGAACATTTCTCATAAAATATAATCACAAGGGATGAACACATTACTATAACACATTAATTGGGATTTATACAGGAAACTATCACTTAATGTAATTCTCTGGGAAAGATTTTTTTTTGGTGGTCTCAGGGCCTCACCACTAGAGCCACTCCAACAGCCTGGGAATGATCTGTTAATATAAGCTTCTCATTCTTATTTCCCCCTCCCTCACTCCGAGAACAAAGTTTTCCTGTAACATGTCTAAAATAAAATTTGGGACAGGGAGCAGGCAGAAAATGCAATATAATTTTCCTCCTCTATGTACCATATTCTATCAGATTGCCATGTCTATTGAACTACCCCTACAACATGGTGGTTAAATCAACAACCATTTTACTTGTACCTGATTCTATGGGTCAGAAATGTGGATTAGATTTAGTTGTGCAGTTTCTCCAGTCTCATTTGGTGTCACTCTTGCATAAGTTTAAGTATTCAGTGGCTTGTTTGGAGTTGGATTGTACCAGTGAACTCGGTTCTCATGTCGGTGTTGATTGTCAGCTGGGGGTGGCTGAACCACTTACCTGGTCTCTATAATATTTGAAGAGGTCAGTCATGACTCTCTCAGATGAGGTCTCAGAGCAGCAAGGAGAGAAGGTTAGCTACATGTCCTTGGGCTAGAAATCATAATGCTGGGGATAAAGCATGGTGCTCTTGGAAATTTTGGTATAGGAGAGGGTATGAACTGAACAAATAGTTCCAAGTGTGATATGTTTCATACACAGGGACTATTTTTTCCTTATTTTTTACAATTTACATACAATAAAATTCATGCTTTTTGGTATACAGTCCTAGAAGTTTTGACAACAACCATCACAATCAAGACATTGTGTATCTTGATCCCATCAACTCAAAAAAAATGTCCTCACTGTTCTTCCTTTGTAGTAAATCTTTCTCCCCAGTCAATAATCTCTGATCTGGTTTCCCTAACTATAGTTTGTCTTTTTCAGAATGCTACATAGATGCAATCACAATATGGAAACTTGTGAGACTGGTTTCCTTCATTCATCATAATGTCATTGACATTCATACAAGTGTGTGCATTATTTTCGCATTCCTTTAAAAAATTGTTGAATAGTTTTTTACTATATGGAAGTACCAGTTTGTTTATCCATTCATCAATTTGAATGTATTAAGGTTGATTACAGTTTTGGGAATTTATTAATCTATATAAACAATCATGTTTTTGTGTAAATTTAAGAGTTCATTTCAGTTGGATAAAATATCTAGTGATGAGATTACTGAGTCATATGGTAACTGTATGTTAACTTCATAAAAAATTTTCAAACTAGTCAGGTGCCAGTGGCTCATGCTTGCAATTCTAGCTACTCAGGAGGCAGCGATCAGGAGGATCATGGTACAAAGCCAGCATGGGCAAACAGTTCAAAAGACTTATCTAAAAAAAAAAAAAAAAGAGAGAAAAAAATCACAAAAAAGGGCTGATGGAGTGGCTCAAGGTGTAGGCCTTGAGTTCAAACTCCAGCACCATAAAAACAAAAACAAACCTGTCAAACTATTTTCAAAAGGGTCTCATTTTTGGCACCTCTGCAATCAGTCTGACAGTTTCAGATAGCACATTCTTGTCAGCAGTTGGTATTGTCACACAAAGTTATTCTAATAAGTATATAGTGGTATCTATGTGTGGTATTAATTTGCATTTCCTTAATGAATAAAGATGCTGAGTATCTTTTTATGTGCTATTTGCAATTCATATATTTTATTTAGCAAGGTATCTGTTTAAAACTTTTGCCATATTTTTATTGCATTGTTTTGTTCTCTTAAGAGTTAAATTTCTAGTCTGGATACAAGTCCTTTATAAGATATGTGATTTATAAACATTTTCTCTTAGTTTGCATTTTGTCTTTTCAGTCTTTTAAAAATGTTTTGATAGTTTTATATTTTTTCTTTTTTATTAGTATATGCTAATTGCATAAAGGGGTTTCATCGTGGTATTTCTATATATGTATATAGTGTACTTTGATCAAATTAATTCTATTATTTTCTCTGACCCCTTGTAAAAACAATTTAACAGGTTTAATTATTCAATTTTTATACATATGTATAAAGTACTTCAATCATATTCACCCCTCCCATCACTTCCACACTCCTGCAGGTTCTTGCCCCATTATAGCTCCTAAATTATATAATAATTATATATATATAATAATTATATTATATCCCAGTCATTCACTTTTAAAGAACTAGATTCTGCATTTGAGGGAGAATATGTGATACTTCTTTCTCAGTCTGGGATATTTCACTTAACATGATCTTTAGTTCCATCCACTTTTCCACAGACAACATAAGTTCATTATCAATGGTGTTAGCTGATATTTTCTTTCTTCTTTTTTTTTTGGTAGTGGGGGCTGAACTCAGGGCCTTGCGCTTGCTAGGCAGGTGCTCTACCAATTGAGCCACTACATCAGCTGTAGTAATTTTTCAGTTGTAGTAATTATGGAAATCAAGAAAAATACTTTGTTCTTCTTTTTCAATATTATTTGGACTAACCTAATTTCTTTTTCTTTCAGTGTAAGTTTTAGAAGCAGCTTGCTATTATCCACAGGAAAATCTTCCTGGGATTTTTTTCTTGGATTATCTTGAATTTATAGATTAGTTCAGGGAGAACTGATATCTCAAGTCTTCTAGTTGAGGAATGCAGTATATTGGTCCATTTGTGTTTTCTTTCACAGTTTTTTTTTTGTTTATGGTTTTCATCATATTAATCTTGCACATATTTTGTTAGATTTATACATGGTTAAATTTTTGGTGCTGTTATACTGCTTCAAGAAACTTGAATTCCAATTTTTTTTTCCTTTTTCTTTTTTGTGGGACTACGGTTTGAACTCAGGGCTTTACACTTGCAAAAAAGGTGCTCTACCACTTGAGCCACACCTCCAGTTCAGTTTTGCTCTGGTTATTTTTGGAAATGGGGTTGTATAAACTGTTTTGTCTGAGCTGGCCTTGAGCCACAATCTTCCTGATCTCAGCCTCTGAAGTAACTAGGATTACAGGCATGAGCCCTGTGCCTGGCTACTCATTCTTAATGTATAGAAATAGAACTAATTTTCATAAATTGAGTCTGTATTCTAAGACTGCAAAATTCACTTATTACTTTTTAATGGCTTTTCATTTTTTATTCGTAGAATCCTTGGAATTTTCTATGTAGAATTCATGGTATCTGTAACTAGTTGTAGTTCATGCTTTCCTATCTAAACATATTCATTTTCCTTGCCTTACTGCATTGGGTGCAGTGAGTAGAGCAACTATGAATAGAGGTAGTGAGACTGGACATCCCTTCCTTGCTCCCAATTGTAGAGGAAAAACATTACACTCTTTCATTATATGTAAATATTGAGTGTAGGTTTTCCTCTAAGATGTCCTTTCTCAGAGTGAGGAAGTTCCCGAAGTTCCCTTTACATTACTACTTTGTGGACATTTTGTTTCTGTTTTGATAAATCATGGATGGATGTTGATTATTGTCAAAAGCTTTTTCTGCATCTATTGAAATGATCATGTTTTTTCCTTTTGCTAATATGGTGAATCATACTGATTTTCCATTTTTATCAAATCTTATGTAGACCCATGTGGCTATTGTTATTTTATATTGTTGGATTTAATTTGCTAATGTTAAGAATTTCTCTGTCTATGTTTTTGAAGAGGCAGCCCACAGAATGTGAGAACATCTTTGCCAGCTGAACATCTGACAAGAGATTAATAACCAGAATATACAGGGAGCTCAAAAAAATCTAAACTCCCCCCACAAAATCAATGACCCAATGAAGAAACAGGCTTTAGCAAAGGAAGAAGTCCAAATGGCCAAAAAACACATGAAGAAATTCTCACCATCCCTGGCCATAAAGGAAATGCAAATCAAAACCATGTTAAGATTTCACCTCACTCCTGTTAAGAGTGACTATCATCAAGAACATAAACAACAACAAATATTGGTGAAGATGTGGGGAAAAAGGAGCCCTTATACATTGTTGGTAGCAATGTAAATTAGTAAACCATGATGGAAAACAATATAGAGGCTTCTCAAAAAACAAAAAAATAGAACTGCCATATAATTCAGCAATACCACTCCTAGGGACATGTTTGAATGAATTTAAGTCAGGTTACATTAAAGGCACTCATACATCCATGTTTATTGCAGCATTATTTACAATAGCTAAACTATGGAAACAACTAAGATGTTTCATTACTGATGAATGGATTGAGAAAGTGTGGTATTTATATATAATGGAATTTTATTCACCCATAAAGAAGAATGAAATTGTGTCATTTGCAGGTAAATGGATGGAACTGGAAGAATATCATCTTCCAGTTAACCAGGTTCAGAAAGCCAAAGACCACATTTTGTTTCATTCATGAACTATAGACCCTATGCAAATACAAGCAATACTATGAAAAACAAGTCACCCTAAGCAGGGGGTCACATACAAGAGAGGGAGGGTAAAGAAAGAAGCTAAGAAGGTGAATATGATTGATGTATTTCCTACACAGAATGAATATACAATTTTTAAACCTGTTGAAATCACCATAATAAGGGGACTAAGATCAAAAGGAGACTAATAGAGGGAATGAATCAATTCGGGTTATAATACATACATACATGGACATGTCACAGTGAAATACCCTGTATAGCTATCTTAAACAAAAAAAATGTTTTTTTTTTTTTTTTAAAAAGAGGCTTATGCCTGTAATCCTAGCTATTCAGGAGGCAGAGATCAGGAGGATCACAGTTTGAAGCCAGCCTGGCAAATAGTTCGAGAGACCCTATCTCAAAAAACCCCATCACAAAAAAGGGCTGGTGGAATAGCCCAAGGTTTAGGCCCTGAGTTCAAACCCCAATACTGCACATTTTTTATCTTTTCAAAAACAGAAAACAGGAAGGCAAACAGATCCTGTCTAGGGGTTTGGTACTAGTGGGAGGGGAGAGGATTAAGGAAAGGATGTAGTAGAATGAATATGGTGTAAACATTATATACTCGTGTATGTAAATGGAAAAATGAGACCTGTTAAACTATTCCAGGAACGAGGGAAGAGGTCATAAAGGAGAATAATGGAGAGGATGAATTCAACTATGATATACTGTAAGAACTTTTATAAATGCCACAATGTTCCCCCCATACAATAATAATGAAAAGAGCTGTAACCACATGTGCTGTCATGCAATTCTGTGTAGTTTACCTGGTCTCTCTAAAGAAGTTAGAGAAAAGAAAGGAAAAAGTAATCCCCACTCTCTCCTTGCTTCTCTAACTTCACTCTTCTTGTTTTCTTTTTTTGCCAGAAATGATTTTCTCTTGGTGTTTTACGTACCTATACTTTCATTGCCACAGTGCAGCATCCTGACTAGGGGCCACCATCAGAGGAAGGCCAGGAAAAAAAAATAAGACAGCAGAAAGAAATAACTTAAAGTGGACAGTTGATACAAAATGTCAATGATTTTAAAATTAGATATCTAGACTGCTATTGACATGTGACTGAACTGGTTCAGCTTGCTTTGTGAATAGGAACATACTAAGCAACTTCCTTCTTGCAGTTCAGATTTTTTGTTATAAGGATTATGTAATGATATAAGAACAGATGAAATTAGGGAGGCACACAGAGAATGACATCAAATAATCAAAATATCTTTACCTTTTTTTTTTTTGTGGCATTGGATTTTGAACTCCGGTCTTACACTTGCTAGGCAGGCACTCTATCACTTGAGTCATTCTTCCAGCCCTGTTTTGTGTTGGATATTTCAAAATAGGGTCTTGTGAACTATTTGCAGGGGCTGCTTTTGAGTGGTGATCCACCTAATCTCTGCTTCCTGAATAGCTAAGATTATAGGTGTGACCCATCAGCGCCCAGCTAACTTACTTTCAAAAACACAAAAGGGGTGGAAAAGTGAACTAGAAGAATGACAATGAAAATAGGACTTTCTGTAGATGTGGAAAAATGTCACGTTACATAAAATATTAAATAAACTGGAATTTTCTTTGATCCTTGTTGACCTATGTCAGCATTCAGCTTTCTCTGACACCAGAAGACAAGAGCAGTGATGGAACTAGAATGGTCCAAGTTATTTTCTCAGTTTATTTTTCCCAACTTCACAGATTATTAGTGGTTTAAAATCCACTTCAAAATATAGCAGGGCAGGTAAAGAGGATATTAAGCTAAAGAGTAACAAAAGGAACTAACCTACAGGCCCAGGATAAAACAAAAATTAAAAAGAAACCTGAATATTCACCATGTAATCACTTAACATTTATTAAACACACCACCAATGTTTGAGGCACAAACAGGAAAATCAAAACTCCTGTTGAAAGTAAAAAAACCACTTGGTCCTCTATATTAGTTCACTAATTCAGTTTTTTTTCATTCATAATTTCTAGGCCAAGAATCCAATACAGAAGGGAGAAGTGAGAAGTTGAAAAAAAACCCACATATTGCATGAACTAAAATGTGAAAATAGCTTTCATGTATCTTGGTAATTTATATTTTCAAAAGGAAGATTTCTATGTCTAAAGAAAGTCACCTCTATTCTCTTGATCCTGATTTCTGAGTCACTCACTTGGACACCAGAACGAAATAATGTAGCATATAACTTTATTATCTTATCAGAATATAACAAATTTATTGGGAATCCATAGGCTATGGTTGTGGGGTGACTTGATACACACATCCCTATGTACTGATATAAGTTGAAATATACTTTTTCAATGGAGTTTTTGTTTTGTAGTTTTCAGTTGTATTATTTCGCCTTTATAGTTTCTACTATAGATTCTCTAGTTTGCCTAAATCTTACCAATTCCCCCCCCAAAACTTGCTAGGTTTTGTTGAAATCAGACTCGATCAACTTATCAAATGTAAGTCATTTAAATTATCTAGCTAGAGGCCAGATAATGAAATGTACTAGAAGCAGCTCTTTCCAATGGAAATACTGTATATCATGTATTTTGTTACTGGAAATAAATGAAAGTAATTCATTTCTGTATTCTTCTCTGATGTTATCCTTTTGCTAGTTCAAAAATAACCATTAACTCATAAATCTTTCACAGGATGATAAAAGATCATACACCACCTTCTTTTACAAATATGACACTGTACATGCTATTGTAATCACTCAAGAGTTTCTTAAAAATATGGATCCCTCAGCCCCAGACTAGATCTGATGAATCAGAATCTCAGGGATACTGTTTTATAATTCTTCTTTTTATAAAAAATAAACTTCTAAGCCAGAGCTGGTGGCTCATATCTGTAATTGTAGCTACTTGGGAAGCTGAGATCAGGAGGGCTGCCGCTAAGAAGCCAGTCCAGGCAACTAGTTTGAGATCCCATCTCCAAAATAACCAGAACAAAAAAATGGGCTGGAGGTGTGGCTATAGGGGTAGAACACTTGCCTTGCAAGTGTGAAGCCATGAGTTCAAACTCAAGTCCCACCAAAACCAAAACAAAGTTCTAAATTGATTTTGATGGTCACACAACTTGGGAATCATTTACACAATCAACTAAGAATTACACACATGGCCTATATTCTACTCTTGGTTCAAATTACTTGCAGTATTTGGCTTTGTTTGTTCCCTCATCTGAAAAAATAAATAGGCTAGAATAGACTCCTAAAGTCTTTCTAGCTTCAACATCTTATAAAAATGTGTCATTGTAAAAAGAGACAAGGTTCTGGGTGTGGTGGTGCATGCCTATAATCCTAGTACTCCAGGGGCTGAGGCAGGAGGAGAGGATAGTGAGACTGTCTCAAAACATCCTTCCTCCCCAAAATAAGAGATTAGGACACAGGACACAGACACACACAGAAGAAAGGTATGTGAGGCAGCAGAAGACAACCACCTGTAAGTCAAGGAGAGGCCCTGGAGGGGAGTAGGGGGGAAATCAACCTGGTATCTTGATCTTAATTAAGATTTTAGCTTGCCGAACTGTGAGAAAACAAACTTTCTGTTGCTTCAGCACTCTTGTAATAGTTCAATGAGCTACCTGGGATGCTCTGAAAACATTCAGAGTTCTAAGCTTCCCTTAAGTTTATTAAGTTAGAATTTCTGTGGGTTGGTCCAGAAATCTGCCTTTTTAGTATGTGGCAAAGGTAAATGCTACACAGTAAAGTTTGAGAAACACTTCTTTAAGATCTACTGTGACAGCAGGACAAATTATCTCTGTAAGAATGTAAAATTCAGTTAAGGCTTTCTTTTAAATGGAGAAACATTATCAATAATGAGGTATGATGAAAGTCTGAGCCTTCATGCAAGTACTGAAATTTACTGAATGCCTATAAAATCATTGTATTAACTGATATCTCAAACATATAAGCAATAAAAAATTAATGAGCTTTAATTCCATATCTCAAAATGTTCAGTGAATTTTTGCATTTTATTAAAACTACAGTGCTTAATGTAGAAAGTTTAAAATAATTAGACTTGTGAAGTTGATGAGACAACATGGCTGGCTGCAATGAAGTGAAAAGGAATAAACAGGGGAAACAAATCAAAGCCCATGACCTAACCAAGGTGAACAATCTAATAGGAGACCACAAACACATGTGTGGGAAAAGCAACAGAAACAGCTCCACAGCAATAAGGGAAGTCACAAGAGTGGAAAAATATTTCTAATGTGCTGAAAAATATTAAAAGTGAAACAATTCTATATTTAGCAAGGTTAATGGTATATAACTCAGTGGTAGATCACTTAATCAGTATGTGCAAGGCCCAGGGTTCAATTACCAGGACAGGGGAAAACACTCTTTGTAGAATAAGGCAAAATATAGAATTTTTCAGAAAACAAATCATAAACAAGTATGCCACTAGCAGACTCTAAAAAGAATGAAGTCCCTAAAGGAAACATTTCACATAGAAATTTATGATGCAAAGTGTCTTAGCCTATTCATAGTGCTGGAGCAAAATACCATAAACAGGGTGGCTTAAAATAAGCAGTATTATTTATTTCTCATAGTTGGGTGAGTTGGTTAAGTACAAGGTCAATGTGCTGGCAGATTTGGTGTCTGGCAAAGGCCCACTTTCTGGCTCAAAAATGGCACTATCTTAATGTGCCCTAACAACGTAGGATCGTGTGGTATCTCTCAGGCCTCTTGTATAAGGGCTCTGCCTCTATGACCTAATCACCTCCCAAAGGCCCAACTTCTCAATAACATCATCTTGGGGGTTAGGATTTAACATGTGAATTCTGGGGAGACATAAGTGCTGACCATAGCAGTAAGCTTTAGAAACAAAAAAGAACTGAAACTGAAAGCAAAGAAAGTGATATGTGTGTGTATGTGTAAAAATACAAATACTGACGGTAAAACAAAGATAAAGTCTTACAGAATTAAAAGACATCTGAAGTACATGAAAACAGAATTAAATATATGACAATAATATCTAAGTTAGGAATTAAGAGATATTGTATAATTATATGTGCATAGTAAATGACTCCCAAACTTATAGTTACATAAACTATCCATGTTCATAGATTTGGTGCATAAGAAATTTAGTATGGTACAGATATGCCAGAGAAAAACTATAACCTGGGAAACTACACAGTTGTTAGAAGAAGAGTAATTGCAAAGGTGATGCTGGCAATACTAGGAGGCAACCGGTAAAGGGAAAAAATTTCTTATCCCAACCTCCATCATTTCTGTCTCCATTTGTGGAACCTAAAAGGAAGCAAGACAGTAAAGCAGAAATGTAGTTTGCAAAGTCCAGTAAAAAAGTCACAGAATACAGAAAAATGGGTCTAGAATTAAGAGACAATTATTCAATAACTGGAGTTAACGAAAGTAAACATGAATTTTAAAAAGCAAGAAAACAGAGAAAAAGAAACACAGTTAGGGTAGACAAAAACCTAACTTTCCAAATAAAATGGAAGAAATAAATCTAAGCAGATTAGTAATTCTTTTAAATGCACATGGCCTAAGTGTTTCAGTGAAAAGACAAACATTATCAGACAGGATTAAACCCCTCCCCCACATCCAAATTCTATGCTGTCTACTAGACAACCATCTAAAAATTAAGAACGCAGAGATATGAAATTATCCCATGAATACCTCAACCAAACTTGAAACACCAAGAGAGAAAACAGGCACAACATATTACAAAGGTATAATTCACAGTGATAAAATTCACCAGGAAAAATCTTAACAATTTAGAAAATTTACACACACACATACACCTTTTTTTTTTCTTTTTTGGAGTAGCACTGGGGTTTGAATTCAGGGTCTCACACGTGCTAGGCAGGCACTCTACCACCTGAGCCACTGGGGCTTGAACTCAGGGCCTAAACCTTGAGCCACTCCACCAGCCTTTTTTCTGTTAGGGGGGCTCACGAACTATTTGCCAGGGCTGGCTTTGAACTGCGATCCTCCTGATCTCTGCCTCCTGCGTAGTTAGAATTACAGACATTAACCACCGGCACCTGGCATATATATACACACACACACACACACACATACATATATATGTATGTGTGTATGTATGTACATACATACGTATTTTTGGCAGTACTGGTTTTGCTTGCTAGGCAGCTGCTCTACCACTTCAGTTACTCCACCAACCTCTTTTTGTGTTGAGTATTTTCAAGATAGGGTCTCGTATTTGTCTTGGCTCGCTTCAAACATCCTCCAGATCTCTGCTTGCCTAATAGCAGGACTATAGGCATAAGCCACTGGCACCAGGCTAGGAGATAACGTTTACTTGCATATGTTGGAAAAGACATATATTGTATATGTTGGAAAATACGAGGTAAAATGAATAAAGTAACCTATCCCGAGGATCAACAGAACCAAAATTTGGATCTTAAGACTGGACTGTCCTAACTTAAAAGTTAAGGCTATGCCCCCCTCCCCCATGTAAGCATCATTAGAGTTTAAGTTTCCAAATGCAGAAAGCAGTATGAAGAAATCAAGTATGTTTACAAATAATCAACAGTTAGGAATAATGTAGCCTAGGTAATTTGGATTAACATTCTAATTTGAGAACTTTAAGTTGGATAAAAGTAGGAAAGCATCAATGACAGCTAATGTTAACAAATAAATTACCAGGCTAAAATATGGGAGAAGACAGAAATTTGCAATGATAACCCTTTCATTTGGAACTACTTCATCCTGGGATCATTTATAGATAATTTGCAAGGGATAACTGAGAAGCCACCTAAAGCAAAGGGGCTAGAGATTCAAAGGTAGAGTCTAGTGTTGGTCAAGAGGTGGGGTCTCTAGTAATCCCAACCTACATTCTGAGTAGGTAAATAGGAAATAAGAGTATTAGCACAGACAGCTTTGAGTCACACAGAAGGTCCAGAAAATCTTAAGTCTCTGAAAATGGATCAAAATGATCTTAGGTGACTAGTGCCCAGGTATCTAGCAGAAGCAAATGAAAAAATTAGGTAGAGGATGAAAATTATTTTTGTAAGTTTTCAAATATTGGTGAGAAATTAAAGATAACCAGACATACAGGAAGCAAGACAACAAGAATGAGGAATAGAAAAAATAAAAGAAAAAATCAGACCCATAGTAGGGTTTTAGATTCTGAAATTATTATAGATTATAAAATAAGTATGCTTCCCATGTTCAAGTAAGAAAGAGATTAAAATTTTTGGCAAGACTGGAAACTGCAAGAGTGATAGTTTTGCTTGTTTACAATTAGAAATTTGAGAACTGAAAATACAAAGGGCTAAGAATAACCAGACACTTACAGAACAGTATGTTGTGAGGACTAGTTTTTGCCAAATAACAGAAATGTATCTGCTATGACAATAAAGACAGTATACTAGCACAGGGATATAAAAGGAGTAACAAAAACAACAAAAATTCAGAAAGAGACAGATATACATATTCTAGTGCCATTTGGCAGCACTTAAAGGACAGACTTCGTTCAGTAAGTAGTGCCTGAAGCACCATCCATCATACCCAAAGTTAATTAGTAATGAAGTAGAAAGTTAATAAAACTAAACCTTTTAAAAGACAATAGCGAAGAGTATACTTGTGACTGTTAAGGTAAGGAACGATTTCTTAAAAAATACACAAAAAACTCTCTAACCATAAAACAAAAGACTGACACATAACTACACTTAACCTTTAGTACATAACGTTTATCAAAAAATATCATGAGAGGGAAAGGTAAGCGACAGAATGGGAAAATATTTACAACTACATAGCTAACAATGAACATAATTTTTTAAAGCTCTCTCATGAACCAATGAGGAAAAGACTGCCAACACAACAGAAAAATGTGCAACAGACTTGACAAGACATTTTAGAAAAAAGTTAACTGGTTAATAAAATTGAAAAGGTTCAACTTCACTGGTAATTAGAGAAGTGCAGAGTGAAACTTCAATGAAACACAACTGCACATCCACCAAACTGGCAAAATTAAAAAAAAAATGCATAAACACCAGTACTGACCATGACACAAGAAACTGGGTACTTCCAATGCTTGGGAAAATACCAGCAGCTATCTAATAAAACTTAAGATATGAATACTTTGTAACTAAGCAATTCCACTCTTAGACACTTATTTGTGGAAGAGACAAAAATAACATTGAACGTGGAACTGTAATTATCCCGAACTAAAAACATTTCAATTGTCAATAAATGAATAAAACTGTAGTATATTAATGCAATGGTAAATGATATAGCAATAATCATCAATGAAGTACAGCTATAACCAACATGGGTAAATTACATGTCGAATGAAAGAAACCACAAAGAATGTAGTATGATTTTTTTTTTTTTTTTTTGGAGGGTCTAGGGTTTAAACTTAGGGCTTCAGGCTTGCAAAGCTGGCACTCTACTGCTTGAGTCACAACTCCAGTCCATTTTGATCTGGTTATTTTGGAGACAGAATTTTTAAAACTATTTGCCTGGGCTGGCCTCCAACTGCATCCTTCTCCCTTCCCCCCTCAGCCTTCTACACCAAAGGATGTAAGATCATTGTGACTGCGGAGGGACTATATGCTGTCAATCTTCTACTATTTGAGTACTGGTTATATAAGTAGTTACTCTAAAATTATTCCTTAAACTATATATTTGTATTGTATATATTCTCAAGTATGTATTTCTCAACTAAAAACAAAGCTTTTAAGAGAAAAGTACAAATTACCTCCTGATTACTTTCTCTGATTTCCAAGATTTCAACTACCTGATTTCTGTTTTTGAATCTATGAAAAGTAACAATGATTATACCCATACATGGTGACTGTATACTAAATTGACTAGATATTTGCAGTCACAGTGAATTTATGATTATATTTTCTGTAGATGAAAAAATTAGGTTGAGGTATTTTTTTCCCTCATGATTTCAAGAGAAAAATTTTCTCTGTCCTCATTTTGCTAAATGTAATTTAGGACTCTAAATATAATTTTTTTTAATGGTTTGACATTATCATCACCATACTGTGCCACAACAAATAAAATATAGAAATAAAGATACACATAAATTTCCAGGTTCCTTGGAATAATTTATAAGAAATTTATAGACAAGTAACATAACTACGTTGAACTCTAAAAAAGAATGACTTTTAGAAATCTCCATCTTGTAGGATGCAATCTACCAACCTAAGTTTTACAGAGTAGAGAATATTTCTGTTTTATTTTTGGTACTGGAGATTAAATCCTGGGCCTTGTATATGGCTAAGCATACACTCTACCACTAAGCTACACGCTCCAATCCCTCCCCAGCTTTGTAAATATAATTTCTGGAACCAAAAGCATTTTAAAGTAATGTCCCTCCACATGAATAAAATAGGAAACATAAGCTGGGTGCTGGTGGCTCACACCTGTAACCCTAACTATTCAGGAGGAAAAGATCAGGAGAATTGAGGACCAAAGCCAGCTTGGGGTAAACAGTTCTTGAGACCTATCTTGAAAACAGTCATCACAAACAAACAAACAAACAAACAAACAAAAAAAGGCTGGCAGAGTGGCTCAAGTGCTAAGAGTGCCTGCCTAGCAACCGTGAGGACCTAAGATCAAACCCCAGTGCTGCCAAAAAAGAAAAAAACAAAAATAAAAAAAAAAAACAAAAACCTAAAGGAAACACAAAAGCACTATCACCCAAAAAAGGAGTAGCAGAAGCAGAATGTCTGGAACCAACTATGAAACATGGTTTATAAAGATATTATTGTTAATAAAAAAAAAAACCACTCCATAGAATTGTAAAACATCATTTTTGCACCTGGTATTTCAATCACTAAAAGTGACACCATGGCACAGAAATAAACTAGAGAAACTGTCATTAACTTCACTTTGGTTTTCTAGATTGGTAAAACTAACTAGAAGAAAGGAGGGCAATAATAATTTTCTATGGAAAAAAATGACAAAAATGGTTTTACCCAGGAAGTGGAGGTAGGATGACTGCAATATGAGGCAGGCACAGGCAAAACCATGAGACCCTATCTGAAAAACAAACTGAACAAATCAAAAGCATTGGAGGTGTGGCTCAAATGGTAAAGTACTTATTGAGCAAGCATAAGACCCTGAGTTTAATTTCCAGTACTGTAGAAATAAACAAATAAATAAAAGGTTGTAGGTTTAATCATAAAATGAACTTAATCTTATTATTTGTATCTGCTGTAAATATAAATATGGTATCTATAAATATGAAATGATAGCACGATTCTAAGTTTACTTCCAAAGAGGTATAGAGAGTCAAAACAGAAGCAAGCTCTTGGATCATATTTGAGGACTGTTGAAAGGCTGCCTAGAGTGTATCAATTATTGCTAAAGAGCACAAGACAAAGTGAAAAGAGGAAAAAAGGCTTCTTATACAAATGTCCTTTTTATTTTTACTCTCTCAAGGGCCTTAATTCAATTTTATGTCTTATTAATTTTCACTATTATACTTGGAATATACTTGGGAGAAGGGTAGAATATGGTGAACAAAGATGACTTTTTATCAAAGATAGCCATTTCTTTAAAACTTATCCTATTCACCTTTCCCCTTCTCCTAATGATGAGATCATCCTTATACAAATTCATTCTCCACTCTCAAATATACTTTCTCAACTGAATGATACTTTCACAAAAGATGGATACAAAACAACTGGCTGACAAAGCAATTTAAACTATTTGTAAGTGAGAGAGGAAAAGTTCAGTAGAGTATAAAGGGATACCAAACTGCAGTAATATTGATGGAATCTAGTTTTCAATTTATCAAAGTATTTATTATTGATCTGAACAGGAAAGTAGAAGAAAAAGAGTTAGAGGGAAGTGACTTCCTGAGGTTGTAAAATACAAGTTGTTTTAGAATGCATGGTAACTTTATAGTAATCATCACTTGCTGTTTTCACTGACTTTACAGTGTGGAGTAGTTTACAGCATTTTAATGAATGCTCTTTTTTCAGCATCTGCAATCATTAGTATCAAAAAACAAAGTCTCTCTCAATAAAGACTTAAAAAAATAGTTCTTAAAATCTTTGTCAACTCCCTTTCTGGGAATGAGGATCAAAATGACATGGTTCCCTTTAAAGTAAAAATACTATTTTCTCTCTCCATTAGGTTGCTGGAAGAAAAAAAGTTCAAGACTCTACTAGTGATCATTTTTTTAATTTCTAATTTTCATCTATTTCTAGGGATACTCCATTTACAAAACCTTTTAGTCTTATGTACTGTGACAACTAGGTTTGGAGTTCCAAATAAATAAAATACCTACATTAGAAAGCATATTTAAAATAAAAAATAAAATCAACAATTAGTCACATTTAATCTGTTTATATGCATGGATTTTCTAAGAAAGTTGTCTGAGTTCATATAATACTGTTAACATTTACTCCAAGTTAACATGTGTCATCTGACCTACTGCTCATGGCTTACAACACTGATAATGTCAACAAAAATTCTGATTTTGGGGAGACAGTGATACAACAAACTCTTTTTAAACTAGTAAAGGTAACAAGACAGTAAACTGTAATTATACAATTTAAAATCTCTATTCTTCATCTACCACTAGTATCCCTCCTCTTCCTGCTGGTATTAATTTTTCATAGCCTAATCACAGAAGAAGTACACAGTATCAAACACTATTTGTATTGGAAAATGGGTCTTAGATAACAAACAAAAAAGAAATTCATAAAATAAGATTAAAATGTTTACATGGTTGCATTCACTATTTTTAATTTCTTGATCCTTATTTCTTCTGGTTATACATAAATATTTTGCTCCTTCTTTTCATCCAGAGAACTTAATATACAAATCTGTTGTAAGTATTACAAAATGGTATTCCAGTTCAAGTTGCTTGTGATCATAGCCAACATAAGGAGGCAACGGACAAGTTTATAAATATTTTATAATTTTCAGTGTAGCGTCCTACTGATGTTTTCCTTAAATTAAGGCTTCATCAAGGAGAAATCCACAGTTTAAAAACTGGTGTTTTTAGCTTATGGATTAAGTGCACTCTTTCCAAAAAATCAAGTAATCTTGGAATAAGACAACTTCTAATAATCAGTGTCATGACTGAAGTAGTATCTTACTGGAGGTCCTGGCAAATCTTCATCACCATCAGTGTCTGGGGCAAATGACACAGTAAGATCCACATACTTCTTTTCAGTAGAAGGTTTCACAAGTTTGTGCATTCTAAGAAAAATAAGCAAGGGTGAATACTGTGGCAAATTTTGTAAAATGAAACAATGTACTAACGAATCCTATCCAGAAATTCTGGACTAGTCGCTAGACTTTACTTTAAAATTTAGTAATTCATTTGCTCTTATATACCCTTTTTTTTGGGGGGGGGGGCGGGTTTCAAGTACTTGAGTTTGAATTTGGTGCTTTGCATTTGCTAGGCATCACTACCACATGAGCCACACTCTGTGCCTTATATACATTCATTTTTCCTTACTAAAAGGTCTGAATTCAAGACACTCATTTATGTTACCACGAATCAATTTGGAATATTTTTGATAGTTAAAGAATACTAACCCTTCACTAACAGACAAAAAAAAAAAAAATCTCCAAAATATTAGTAATGATTTTGAAGTCTCCTTCTATGTTACTTATAAAACTTGGAGGCATTGTACATTTTCTATCATTTCTCTATAAAGAGTGAAACTGCCTGCAGTTTCTATTCCCCCTCTATTCTATGGCTGCTAGAATTCTTTCAAATTTTAAGTCTGATGTTTCCTGTTTTCCTAATGTTATTATCAATCATACAGTGAGTACCTACTTCATTGCCAGATTCTGAACTATCTAATTCAATTCTCAGTAATAGCTCTTTCCTGTATTTACAAAAAAAAATTTTTTATTTACTTATTTGAGCTTCTGGGGTTTGAACTCAGGACTTTGCTATTGCTAGGCAGGCTCTAATCACCTGAGCCACGCCTCCAACCCAGCTCTTTGCAGTTTTAAAAGGTATTTTGTCCCATATATAATTTTTCATTCCTTTACTTTTCACCATAACCAAATCATCTTTGAGTCCTTCCAAATATTAACTTTCCAGAGACCATGCACACCATTGTTTAGGTGCATGTGTTTGGAAAAAACTGTTGCTTATGCTAGGAATGGTCAGTCTTTCACAGATAAACTCAAATGAAATCTATCCTAAATTTACATGAGCCACACTCTGTGCTTATATACATTCTTTTTCCTTACTAAAAGGTTCTGAATCAAGCACCATTTATGTTACCACGAAAAAATTGGAATATTTGTTGATAATGTTAAAGAATACTAACCCTTCACTAACAGACAAAAAAAAAAAAAATCTCCAAAATATTAGTAATGATTTTGAAGTCTCCTTCTATGTTACTTATAAAACTTGGAGGCATTGTACATTTTCTATCATTTCTCTATAAAGAGTGAAACTGCCTGCAGTTTCTATTCCCCCTCTATTCTATGGCTGCTAGAATTCTATTCAAATTTAAGTCTGATGTTATCCTGTTTCCTAATGTTATCAATCATACAGTGAGTACCTACTTCATGCCAGATTCTGAACTATCTAATTCAATTCTCAGTAATAGCTCTTTCCTGTATTTACAAAAAAAAATTTTTTATTTATTTATTTGAGCTTCTGGGGTTTGAACTCAGGACTTTGCTATTGCTAGGCAGGCTCTAATCACCTGAGCCACGCCTCCAACCCAGCTCTTTGCAGTTTTAAAAGGTATTTTGTCCCATATATAATTTTTCATTCCTTTACTTTTCACCATAACCAAATCATCTTTGAGGTCCTTCCAAAATATTTAACTTTCCAGAGACCATGCATACCATTTTTTAGGTGCATGTGTTTGGAAAAACTGTTGCTTATGCTAGGAATGGTCAGTCTTTCACAGATAACTCAAATGAAATCTATCCTAAATTAGAGGTTTGAGTTAGTAGAGCCCATTGTGCATTACAAAAATCTTTAGTATATTAAGGATTCAATTTTCCTTAGTAGACTGTGAACTTCTAAGAGCAGGGTTTTTTGTATGGTAAGAAAATATTAACAGGAGTAACATTTATGGAATACTTCTGTGCCATTACACTGTTAGGTTGCTTTACTATTACTTTAATCCTCAACAGCCCTGGGCATAATCCTTTTTTTGGTGGTACTGGGGTTTGAACTCAGTCCTAGGCAGGCACTTTACCACCTGAGCCACTCTACCAGCCCAAGCATTCTTCACTGTGGATAGGAAATTAAGGTGACAAAAGAAGTCAACAGCTGCCCAAACATGTGAACCCAGGTCTTTTTATACACCTGTGGTTAAAGCTCATGCTCTTAACCACAGCTTCATTGACTGATGTTAAGTGTTTAGCTACTTAAAAGGTATTTAATACCTGCTAACCAAACAATGTAATAAAACAAGAAGTATCATTCACAAAGCATATCCACACTGGGGAAATGAAATATAGGCCAACTCTCAAAAATATTTTTGTTTGACTACTTAGCTAACAGATTTTTTTTTTATTTTGCAATTTACAGCAAATTTTGAATTCCACAAGCTAGTATACTCATGACCACATATTCCATACTATTCTAGGTAGTATACAAACAAAATAATCCTAAATACCACTCTCTTTTTGTTTTGGTGGTACTGGGGTTTGAACTCAGGACCTCACACTTGCTAGGCAGGCACTCTTACTTCTTCAGCTATACTACCAGACTGATACCATTCCTAACTTATCCAAAAGATACTTAGCAACCCTAACAAAAAATAATAAGGTAAACTATGAAATTAATGCCTTAACAAATGTAATGGTTTAAGAATTTTTTTGAAACAGGGTCTCAATATGTAGCCTAAGTGGTCTGGAACTCCCTATGTAGCCCAGGGTTGGCCTTAAACTCCCAATCCTCCTGCTTGTACATTGGGATTACAAGCATGTGCCAGCAACTCATCAATACTTTAGTTTTTTAAAGATAATTAAGATGATTCTAATTTATAAGTGACAATTGACAAAGAATTAAAGCTAACAGACATCTTAAAGAAAACCATTGTGTAGAGATTTATTTTTTCACGTGACAAATATTTACTGATGCCTATTATGTGCCAGGTATTGGAAGTACTCAATATAAAACACTAAGCAGATAAAATAAAGATTTCTGCCTTAGTGAAGCATCTCATGTGGGGTGGGAGTGAGTGATGCAGATATTAAACAATAAATATAAGCAAAATATATAGTAGCCATAAGACAGTGGTGTTATAAAAAGAGAAAATGTAGAATAAAAGGACTTGGGTTAAAAGTAAACTGCAGATGGGGACAGGTTGCAGTATTATGTTAGTTCAGAAAAGCCTTTTTCAGGAAGTGCAAGGACCAGAGGTGAGATTTAGCCAAGCTGTCATCTCAGAAAGAAACACAAGCTGAGGGAACAAGTAGAGCAGGCAGAGGGAATAAGTAAATATACTTAATACCTTCTCTCCCCACATATTCTTTTCTCTTTCTCTTTTTTTCCTGGTGGTGGTACTGGGGTTTGAACTCAGGACTTTATGCCTGCTAAGGCAGGTGCTCTATCAGTTAAGTCACTTGCCACCCTTTTTGAGATAGGGTCTCGAAAACTATTTGCCTGGGCTGGCTTCTAACTGCACTCCTCCTGATCTCTGCTTTTTCTATGTAGCAAGGATTACAGGCATGAGCCACTGGTGCCAGCTTCTTCTATTCTTCTTTATTTTCTCCACAGCACTTGCCACCATCTGACTTACTTTTTTAATTGTTACGTAAACTCTTCAAGTAGGGAGGGCCTTTGCTTTGCTCACTGCTATACCCCCTAATGCTTAGAACAGGACCTGGTACGTGGCAGGCACCTTTAACAAAAATCAATGAATAAATATAACTATTCGGAACTTTTGTATTATACCTTAGTTTCATAAGCTTAGTTATCACATTTTCACATAAGAGGGTAGATTTACTTTTATGTAGTATACTAAGTAAAATTTCTAATAAAGCTTAGACCTGATTCTCTGACCTACAATAAACTCACAAAGGTATTGTAATCTTATGACTCTCTTTTGAGAGGTAGCCTGTGGGTTTCACCTGGCAGACCTTAGACAGAGTAATGTTTTTATCTGAATTGCAGTAACTTCTGTATTTAATTTTCGAGTGTACATACAGCTTCTGTTTTGATTCTTGTAAGTATTCTGCATGTAATGTTTGATTACTTACGTTAACTTTAATCTTTTTGCATGACCAGGCATTACAGGAACATAAAGCATTTTGACTCCCTGAACCACCATTGTTGGCTCAATACCATACTTTTCCTAGAAGTAAATACACAAAAGAGAAATAGTCAAAGCCTCAACCAAACATAAAATGCTTGGGTGAAAATGTTTTATGACCAGTAAAAATAAAGCAAGCTTACACTAAATAGTATTTATAACCAATGAAGTTATGGATAAAAATAGCTACCCTTTATCTGTGTTTCACAATCAATTATAGTCTGAAAGCATTAAATAAAAAGATTCCAGAAATCAACAATTCATAAGTTTTAAATTGTGATGAACCAAGCTGTCCTCTAACCTTACTGGGATGTGAATCATCCATGGTCCAGCATATCCACACTGCATTAGGTGCTTAGTAGCTGTCTTGGTTACTAGACTAACTGCTGAAGCGTTAGTTTTCAAGTAGCCATATTTTACTTAATAATTAACCCAAACAGCAAGAATAGTGAGGCTAGTAATTCAGACATCTCAAAAAGAAGCCATAAAGTGCTTCCTTTAAGTGAAAAGGTAAAAGTTCCCAATTTTACAAGGACAAGAAAAAAATCATAGGCTAAGGGTGCTAAGATCTACAATATAATGGTATTATGAAAGAGATACTTTATTACATTGCTATAATTTTTCTACTCTATTACTGTTAATTCTTTCTGTACCTAATTTAGAAATTAAACTTTGTCACAGGTATGTATATTAGGATAAAACATGGTAGCTATAGGGTTTAATGCTATTCAGTTTCAGGTATCCACTGGGAGTCTTGGAACATATTCCTCACGAATAAGGAGAAACTACCATAAACAGAAATCAAACTCAAAGCTACTAATGAACCAAGTGAATAAAGATACCTTACTTTGACTGCATTTATAAAATCCAAGAGGGTAAAATCTTCTTTTCCATGTATAATCCATCTGTCCCAAATTGTAAATGAGATTCCATTTCTGTTCAAAAATATTCACAACAGAAACATTATTTTCTTCTCTTTCGTAATGATAATAATAATAAAAAAACTTCCCACAATCCATTACTTGTGATTTAGTAATGTGAAGGAAAAAACCTCTAAAATATTCCATAACTTGTTTCCCCATAATATCACATAGGTAACTACTTTTATCTGTATCTTGTTGATTTTTTAAGTGACTCATTACAAATCAGTATGTCTTAGAGAGTACCTCTCTTTCATTATAAATAGTTGGAGGAGTTTTATTGTGGGGATGTTCCAGTCACCTATTACCAGACATTTGGATTATTTTAATAATTGGCTATCATAAACAATGTCAGAATAATTATGTTGCATATAAATAACTTAAGTGCGTATTATCTGCAAATTTGAAATACAGCATTGTATTTCCCTTATTATATAGTATTTTGTACTCTCACCAGTCATGTGTAAGAGTGCTTGCTTTCCTTGCCAAGATAGTTTTATTCAAGTTTTTGGCTGTTGCCAGCATAAAAAGTAAAAAATGGAGCCCAGGGAATTGTTTTTCTTTGTCACAAACTGGTTGAATTAGATTCTACATCTCATAATCCACAGTCAGATGCTAGAGAGCCTTCTAATGTATCTGAGTTAGGTAGATATCAACAAAACCATATAGTACTAAATAGTGTGGCAAATCAAATGCTATGACAATTCTTTGTCTTGTTTACTCAGAAATACTTCATCAGGATCAGGTTTGACTTACTCTTGAAGTGACAGCAAGGATTTACATATATATAAGAAAAGAAGAGGGAAAGGCAGTATTTTTCCCTTTTAAAAGACAATACGCACAAGCAATAGACCTTCGTACATACCTGATTTCAGTTTTCCTTACTTCAGATGCCTCTGTAAACACTATAACTGGAATGGCTAAGTTCAGGAAACAATTTTTATAAGCTTCAAATGGATAGCCACCAGTTACTTTGATCATCTCCAAGGCAACCTAGATAAAAGAAGGCAATCTAATTATACGAAGAGTCTAAAAACTATTCATAATTTCAATTGGCTCTATTCAGTTTTCCTAAGTCCTTCTCAAGCACTTCTGTATAAAGAGTAAAACCTGCTACAAGACTGGAGTAATACGAATTTCTTATTTGTAGGTCTCTATATTTTTATTATATTTTATTTTCAAACTTTAAACTTACTCCATACAGAGTGAACAAAGTTATTTGACCATGTAATCTTTGTACTTTGAAAGCAGATGCCCGAACTCAAAAAATAAAGCAGTCTAAAACCACTCAATATAAGGGTAAGCAGCTAACTATATAGCCTTTTCAGACAAACGCTATAAGATGGGATAATAACTAAGGCCATGCTAAAAATTCTGAATTACATAAAGATTAGGGCAGTTTATTTTATTCAAGAATAACAGAGAACCTTATTTATACAGAGAATATAAAGATGACTGAGATAACTACTTGTAAGAAAATTTGTATCTTGAGCTTATTTTTCAAGATGTCAATTTCTGAATTTTCAGAACTACCTTGAAATTTTAAACAATATAACCTTCCACCTCTAACATCTGAGTGACTAACTCAGAACACAGGAAAAGGCAATAAAAAAGAAGAAATTTTTAATTGAAGAATAAGCTTACCAAGCCAGAAACTGCAGCAGTGGATGTTGCTATAGCAGGTATAATCTTACCAGCTATGCGCTTTGTTTTAAAACGGTCAGCTGGTTCAATGCTATACATTTTGGCACGAAGATTGGATGCAGCTGTGATGAAATCTATGTGTCCATTACTATCATCATCTTTTTCAAATGAAAGTACTGCCATCTGAAGGTCACCTGGTGAAAGAGGTCAGAATAAAGTTCCCTAGTAAGTGGTAAAAGTTTTGCTAGGTAAAAAGCAATGGGGTTCAGTACTTTTAAAACTTAGTAGCTGGTGCCAGTGGCTCATACCTGTAATCCTAGCTACTTGGGAGGTGGAGATCAGAAGGACTGTGGTTCAAGGCCAGCCCAGGCAAATAGTCTGTGAGACCCCATCTCCAAAATAACCAGAGCAAAAATGGACTGGAGGTATAGCTTAAGTGGTAGTGTCCCTGCTTTGCAAATGCAAAGCTGTAAGTTTAAATCCCAGTCCCAACAAAACCAACAAATAAAACCTAGTAAATAGATAAATAAGAAGGCTGAGTACTACATTTCTGCTGTCACACAGTTTCATAAAAAAGCCAACCTCTGTGGTATTATTAAAAATTTAATCCATAAATCCTTCTCTGAAACATTTTCCCTCTGACAACTAATAAAGTCAAGTGGTTAAATAAAAATATGTACTTTCTAAATCAGTAGTTTCCAATATTATTCTAATAATCATTTTCAATTAGTTTCCTGACATTTTATTGATTCATGCATAAAATCCCAAAACTCTGGAGCCACTGATTTATACAACAAAAGATGGTGAGCAAGCATAACAATAAGCAAATGGATCTGCTTTCAAAGAATTAAATGTTCACTTTTCCTAGATTTTAATATGTAAAAATCATTTAACAAGGTTGAACATAGGATACTTTGTAATCCCTGACATCAATTAAGCAGAAAAAGAACCTAAGAAGAGTTCTGTATGATTCTTTATCATAAAGTGATACAAATGGGTCTAAAGATTAGTTTCCACAAGGACCCCATTATCCTGAATTTTTAATTCCTTAACAGAGATATTTGCTCATGTTTTAAAATGTGCTCATATTTAAAGGATTAAAACAATCAGTACTACAATAATAACAGCAGTTAACATAATTTGGAGAATTAGATTTTAACACTTGAGGGTGGGGTCACTGTGAGGAAAATGATGAAATTTAATCACAGGTAAAAATGAAAAATGACTTTCACATGATAATGAAATCAACTATTACTATTACCATTTAATCTCACAAACTTTCCAGTATGAAGCTGGGGTAACATAAAAGCCCATCTATAGCTACTTGGGAGGCTGATATCAGGAGGATTATGGCTCGAGGGCAGCCCATGCAAAACGTTTCAAGACCCCCCCCTCCACCCTCCATCTCCAAAATAATCAGTGTAAAAGTGTACTGGGGGTGTGGCTCAGCAGCAGAGTTCCTGCTTTGCAAGTGAAGTCCTGAGTTCAAACCCAGTACCACCAAACAAATATGTAAGCAAAAAAACCCCATTTTAAAATGTTTTTAAGGAGTTTCCCTTACTTTTGGAAGCTTCATTAGATGAAATAGCCTTTTCTAGTTGGAAAACAGCATTCCTTTCATCTTCACTGCTAATAGGAACATGGTCTGGTTTCCTTGCAGTTTCATCTGTTTGAACAACCTTTAAGTATACGTAAATATATCTATTAATGTTGGTTTGGTTACAATTTATCAAGTAGATCAAAAGAGATAGTATTTTCTCCCTGTATTTTAATTATATCATTAATTACTACAATCCAATGTACAACTTTTCCTAATAAGTAATATTGTTATTTGTGTGGTTTTTTTTTACTTTATTATCTATTCTCTCACACTGCCATGTATACTCTATTAAGAATAGGGCTCTTATCTTGTTCACCAAAGAGACCCTCCAGTAGACCTAAAACAAACTTTTTCATACTGGTGCTAAAAATATGGAATGAAGCTGGGCACCAGTGGTTCACACCTGTAACCCTAGCTACTTGGGAGGTAGAGATTGAAAGAATCAGAGTTCAAGGCCAGCCTGGGAAAAAAGTTGGTGAGACTCAATTTCAAACAACAGCTAGGTGTGATGGACCATACTTGTCATCCCAAGCTACATTCGAGGCTGAGATCAGGATTGCAGTTCCAGGCCAGCGTAAACAAAAAAAAGTTTGTAAGGTTCCACCTCAATGGTAAAAAACTGGATGGAGTGTGGTGCTGTGCACCTGTTGTCCCAGCTATAGCAGGAAGAGTAAAATAGGAGGACTGTGGTCCAGGTCAACCTGGGCAAAAAAAGCAAGACCCTATCTCCAAAATAACCAGGAAAAAACCCAAAAAACAAAACAAAAAACAGCTAGAGGCATGACTTAAGCAGTAGAGCACCTGCCTAGTAAACTCAAACCCTAGTAAAGCAACAAAACAAAACAAAAAGTACCGAATAGATTATACAGATATAATCTATTCTGAAATTCCGTATTGTTAATTCTGACAAATCTACTTTCAACTCAAATTGCGTATCTTTAATTAGTGTAGCGCTGTTTTATGTAGTAACAGAAATTGAAGAAATCCATAAAAATATAATATGGGCATCCTTTAAATACTTATCAACAAGAAGTTCTTTCTTGAAGACTGTGTCTTCCTTCATACACAAAGTTTGGCATGGTAAAGGCAGTATAAAACCACAAATACTTTTTTTTTAATGGCAAACTGTTTTTTAATTAATTTTTGTTACAAGTTTAAAATTTTCATAAGCCCAAAAAATAAATGCCACCTTTTAAAAAAAGGGGAAGAAAATCCTAGGCACTAAGGTCTTGGACATGGCAGGGGAGTTATAACTAGTTCATATTGATTTATTCATTGTTACATACATTAAAAACTCTTTAAAATCTGCTCATTGTCATGCATTTTAAAAGAAGGGGAAAAATTGGCCAATACTTCCTAGTTGGTGTTCCTCCCATCTGGAGTTTTCAGTTAAACCACAAATACTTTATTCTTAAAAAATTACTTATTAGATAGTGATCTTTTGGCCACCCAGATTTAGTACAATACAATATGCATATTAAGTGGATTCTCGGTGCTGTATGGCAACTCTACATCTTTTATTTGGTGGTGCTGGGGTCTGAACACAGGGCTTCACGCTAGGCAGATGCTCTAGCACTTGAGTCACTCCTCCAGTCCTTTTTAGTGCTAGATATTTTTGGGGTAGGGTCTCATGAACTTATTTTCCTGGGCCTGGGCTGCCTTCTAACAGCAATCCTCCTGATGCCTCTCCTAACTAGCTAGGATTACAAATGTGAGATGCCAGTGCCTGGCTCAATTCTACATCTTTTTAAGTAAGAAAACAATAATGTTTACTGTCACACTTGAATTTCAATCCCTTGGAAGTCCCCTCAGGACTACACTAAAGTATACATAGAATCTAATTCCTTCTCACCACTGTCCTATTATTTATTACTTCATTCAAATCACCACCATCTCTGGCCTGCATTCTTGTAATCACCTAATAGCTTTTCCTGCTTCCTCTCTGTATGCCCCATATATTCATTCGTAACTAAATAGCCAGTCATCCTTTTTAGGGAACTGATTTTTTTTGGTGGTACTGTGGTTTGAACTCAGGGCCTTAACACTTGCTAGGCAGGCGCTCTACCACTTGAGATACACCTAAAGCCCCAGAGTCATCCTTTTAAATCTAAGTCTTACCATGTTACTCCTCCTCTGCTTAAAACCCTCCATTAGCCTCTTATCTCACAGTAAAACACACAAATACTTATCATAACCCCAATCACCTCTCACATCTCACGTTTACACTCTCCCCTCAGCATATTCTCATACAGACAATCCTAGCTGTAAAAGCCTTTCTTTTTACTTGTTCCTAATGTCTGCATTGTTCTTTTACCAGTACATGGTTGGAGAAAAGATCACTACCAGGTATTGGCATGGCTCTTTCCTCCACTTCCTTTAAGTTACTGCAAATGATGCTGTTACCGGAGAGAGGCTTGACCCTTCCATTCCACATAAAAGGATTATCCCGTCCCCAGTATTTCTTTTCCTTTTCCCTCTTTTATTTCTTTTCTTAGCACTTGTGTCTACATTGCAATATTGTATACTTACTGGTATTTTTGTTTATAATCACTTGTTTCACTGGAATACAATACTCACAAAGGCAAGAACTTTGTTCTTTGTGATAGTCTCCACATTTAGAATGGAACTTGTCACAAGCAGAAATTTAATAACTATTAGCTAAATGAATGAATTTGTAAATTTACCTTGTTGGAAGGTTTGAATTCCTGAATCTTTACTTCTGAAAGAATATTCATTAGGGCATCTGCTGCTAAGTCCTATTCATTAAAAAAGTAATTTTATCAACAAACATATTCTTCCAATTCTAAAATCTAAAGATAAAAATATCCTATAAAAGGTCCTGTATTTAAATATTTAACTATCTGAATATTTAAACTATATTCATTTGAAACATTTACCTTTATTTCTATAGAATTATCACCCATGATGACTACTGGGAGGTGAAAACACACTTATTAGTAAAAATATCTGAAATCTTCATTCTGTAAGCTATAAAAAGTTTATCGTTTTTATTTCCTTAGTGTCAGAGTTTTACAAAGTTTCAATAAATACATAAGTTAATGGAATTCAGACCCTAAGAAGCAGGAAAACATTTACACAGTTCAAGATGAACTTAGATGAGTTTAAAGCTACTGTATACACATTCTCTGTTAAGAAGCTGTTTAGGAAAAACTAAGGCATACTGTGTCTGAGGTCAATTAGCCCTCTCATAACATAGCTATCATTCTTTTCATAAAAAGAATACCAGACCGAATGCCACCATTTTTTATTAGACATTTACTGGTTGTTTTATCTATATTAAGTTCCAGAAGTATGTATCACCAACAGGCAGAGTCAGGTGGGTATGGTGATGCATGCTTGTAATTCCAGCACTTGGGAGACTAAAACAGGAGGATCAACAGTTCCAGGCTAGAGCTGGGGATATCAGTTCACTGGCTGGATGTTTGCCTAATATGCACAAGGCCCTGAGTTCCATCCTTAGTATTGGGGGTAAGGGGAAATCAAAAAAACAAAACACATTAGAGTTCCAGGCTAGCCACTCGGCAAAATTCTGTATCAAACAAAGCAAAAACAACAAAAAACCCCACACTGAAACAACTGACTTCATATTTCACCACTGTTTACCTGAAAGTATAGAATTTCTTAAGCATTGATATGCTTTTTCAAAGAAAAACTGACATGCACAACTGCCTCTTAACACTGTATCTGGCCCTTCATATGTCAATGAAGATGATATCTAAGAGAATGATGATAAGGGTAAGACAGGTCAATATGGGGGACCATTTTTATGTTTCTGGAAAAGCACAGAAGTTAACATTACGAAATAAGTAAAATATATTAAAGAGAATCTTTAAGAAGTATTTCTAAAATGCTCTGAAATGACTCACTTTGGCCTTTTAGAATAACTAGGATATCAGAGTGGATAAACAGGTTATAAATATTTTAAAAATGAAGCATGATTGTTTTTACAAATATTGGTGTTTCATTACTTCATAAATGCAAGAAAATTTAAACTTTCTTTTATTTACTAATACTGCAATGAATATTTAGCTTCTGCTATGGTAGGACGGCAGTAATACAACATAAAAAAAAAGTTTATATCAAAAAGAATCATTCTGCTGGACACCAGTGGTTCATGCCTTGTCTTCCTAACTACTGGGGTGGTAGAGATCAGGAGGATTGTGGCTTGAAGAATCATTATTATAACATAAAAATACATTTTGAATCAATTAACAATTCTAGCTTGGTTTTTTATTACTAGCAAGGGCTTGAAGAGTATCTTACCTTTTCTGTAAATGTAATGTAATATATCGTAGCATACAGTTTTGCAGCATTCTGAAGGAAACTGAGGTGCCTTTTTAAATTAAAAAACAAAGCAAATTTGAATGCATGGTTCTGAAGGAGACATTTAACTTATCTTTAAAACAGTGTTGGAGGAAAAACAGTCACAGAATTTTTATTACAGGATTATATGTATTTTAAAGTTAGACAATGAAATTCTAGTCTAGGCCAAAACACTGCAGAAGTTATAAAAGAGAAAATATCAAATATTTATCATAAAAAACACAGGTAGTCATCACAACTACTTTGAAGATAGACATGAAAGTCAGAAGTAGAAAATTTAAGACTAGTGGAAGAAAATTTTATTTTAATTCTTAACTAAATATTATATACCAGGTATTACAGAATATATTTCAGGTTCAAACTAACAAATTTAGCTTGTGTAAAAACACAACAAAACAAAAAAAGAGGTTACATCTTATAGAAAAAGCAGTTCAGGATATTGTGAGTATAGGATATTGTGACAAGCAACAAATCAAAGCTATTTAATAGCTTTTCTCAAGCAAAATGCTATTTGTAGAAAGGAAGATTAATGAAGGCAAGCTAAGTGTTTAATTAAAATATAGGCACATAAGTGTGAATATAACATAGTGTCTGTACCCAGGCATTCATGTAGAGACCAACTCCTTTGAAAACTTACTTGAGATTAATTTAGGGAGATACTCAGCAATAATTGCTTCTTCCATATAACTAAAGATTCTTAGCTTTATTAAATACAAAAATATTTATTGTCATTTTACTTTTGTATTGACAAAGTCAAAGAGATGATTTTGGTTTTACCATAGAGTAGATATTAAAAATAATGAATTTATTTACCATGTAAGTAAATGGATTCACATTTGTGTGGGAAGAAGGGTTGTTGCTAGCTTTGTTGATCAGAATGGCTTGTTAAATTCTTGGATTAATAAGGATGCAATAATTTAACATGAAAGACACTGAAATGTACAATTAAAACATTTACAGTTAAAACAGATATACATACTTACAAAGGTTCATTTAAATCAAATTTTATTGGAGAAGGTGGCCTTTTTGGCGATTGCCAAAACAAACCTGACAAAAAGACACAAATATTATTTGGTATATTTGTAGTCAGCAAAGAGCAAATTGTATTACAATTTCTTCTCAGCATTTGTTCATACTTACTGCCATCTTTTAATTGTGTGTCCAGAGGAAAACAGTGAAGAAGCTGAAGAGCCTAAAGAAAAAAAGTTGAATTAAATAAGCCCACTAAATATTATCAAGGAAAAAACTATTTTTATTAAAATAAAATTTTTTTGTGTTAATATATGCTTATGCTTTATAAATCCAAACACATTAAAGAATCCCAGCCACCCTTTAATTCAGTCTGTTCATTCTTTATTCTTCTGTCATTATCCCACTATAACCAGGGTTAAAGAAAAATATACACACACACACACACGTACACACACACACACACACACACATATTTTTTTTTTTCTTTTTGTGATGCTGAGGATTGAACTTGGGCCTTGTGCATGCTAGGAAAATGCTCCACCACTTGAGCTTTGACACTAGTCTTTTGTTTTTATTTTGTTTCTGACACAGGGTCTTACCATTACCTTTGCCTGGGCTGGTCTCAAACTTGTGATCCTCTTGGCTCCACCTCTTTAGCAGCTGGCATTACAGCTCAGCTTTTATCATCATTTATTTTAACAATAAACTTTTTTTAAAATTATTTTTAATCAATGTAGTTTTTAATGTGTACAGCAAATACAAACATAGATTACTTTATCCCTTTAATTATTGTTGAGTTTTTGAAACACGGTCTTGCTACATAACCCAGACTTGCCTTAATTTGAGAACTCTTGCCTCATCCCCACAAGTGCTATGATTATACGCATGTACACCTCATCTGCCTACTTCACTCCTTTTAATATAAATGGCATACTTTATATTATCATTTTTTGTGCACTTTTTTTTTAACTGAAGAACTAATCCTTAAACCAGAAGAAAGTCAAGTGAAAATGCACAGTATACTGTATCTTGATATGTGCTGGAGCTGTGCTTCAAAATCATCTGGGAGAGGGTGAGAATGGAATGTAGATAATACAAAATTATAGGCTGATAATGGTTAAATTTAGATGTTAGGTTAATAATGATTGTACTGGGATTGTTAGCTATACTATTTTCTCTACATTTCTATGGTTGGAAATTTTCCATATTCAAAAATTTTAAAAACCACTCTCAGAATAACAGGTGTGGTAGTATACACTTGTAATCCCAGCTACTTGGGAGGCAGAAGCAGAAGTTTTTGAGTGTGAGGCTAGCTGGGCCAAAGTTAATGAGACCCTATCTCAAAAAGAAAATAAAAACTAAAGGGCTAGAGCACTTGCCTAGCAAGTATGAGGACCTGGTTCAATACCCAATAACATGGGCATGCACCTAAAAAATACCCACCCCCCCAAAAAAAACTCTAAAGAACAAATACACAGATAATATGATCTAAAAACAATCTTTAAGTTCTGAAACACTGACAATAATGGTAAAAGAAGACACATTTTTCTGGATAAGAATGTGACTTTAGACCAATTTCCTAAAAAATAGAGCCATGAATAAAGTGAAAGGACAGGTAAGTATAATCATAAGATTTTTTTTTTTTTTTGATGGTACTGGGGTTTATTCTGTAATAGGCAAAAGAGTGACTAAAAAGGAAATAGGAGGCCTGGAGGCATGCTTTAAGTGGTGTAATGCCTGGCTCACAAGCACAAAGCCCTGAGTTCAAACAAAAATATCACAATTGTATGTAACTGCAAGTAAGAATGATGACTAACATTTAGTGATTATTTACATGCCATATTCTGTTCTGAATACTTTGCATATATTAACTCATTTGATCATCATCACTACCCTATGTATTAGATATCAATTTATTATCCTCAATTTACAGGTGAAGAAAGAGACATAAAATGTATTTATGACATATGGTGGAAAAAGTAAAACTTGAACAAAATTTCTGACAAAAATTATCTTATTGTATCTGCCTCTTGCTTCTATTTTGAACAAAGTAGACTATAGACAGAATATACTTGTCATTCTCTAGAAAGAAATGCTATGTAAAACCCAACTAGACAAGATCAGTTAAATAACAAGCCAATAAGTGTATTTTAAAACTCTTTTTTTTTTCTCCTTTTTTTAGGTACTGAGGTTTGAACTCAGGGCTTTGCACTTGGTAGGCACATTGTTATTTTTGAGATGGGGTCTAACATTATGCCTGGGCCAGCCTGGACCACAAACTTCTTATTTGTGCTTCCCTGCATAGCTGGAATGACAGGTGCTTGCTACCATGCCCAGTTTTATTGGCTGAGATGTGGTCTTGTGAACTTCTTGCTTGAGATGGCCTCCAATCCCCCCTCCCAAGGGTGTAAGTCACTGGGTGTGGCAAATTCTTTAATTAGTAACACTCAAAGACAGATTAGTTGTATGCCCAGCCTTTCTTCTACTTAAGTTACTACTTATTTCTGAAAAGAAGAAAAGACATTTTAGGTCAATGAAATTAACTTAGTAATAACTAAATTAACTGATGTCTCATGATACAAACTTACCTTATGGTTAAAATATTTTTCAAACTTTAATCTTGCTAGTTCTACACACTGGAACCAATTTCTAGGTCTTCTGCTAAGTAACTTAATAACTTGAAAACAGCCTTCTAAACTCTGTCCACTTTTTATCTTCTAGAACGGGAGAAGAAAATAAAACAAAACACAGGTCCAATTACAAATGCACACTCATTTCAAAAGTATTAATCAAAAGCTGAAGTGCCAGCTCATGTGTTCAAAATTTTTATTCTATTTTTTCACATCAAGCCTCTTTTCTCTCTCTGCCTACTTTTTTTTTTTTAATTAGGAAGGAATGGAAAGAGATACCACAGAAAATTTTAACTCTCAAGTTGGTTAATTCACAAGATACCTTCATTGTCCTAGGTGTAAATTATCAGTGCCATGTATGTACTTACTATATGGAGTCCTAGGAATAAAAATGAATATAAAAAAGTTGACCTTTTTAGTAGTACAGAACTAAGGAATGTAAAAAAATCTTCGAAGCTGCTCTCATAATAGGAGTAATAAGTCTAAGATTACTGTCCCCTCAAGACATTTTTATCTGAACTTTCCTCAACTTTTTTCCCAAACAGCTTTGCAAGCCCTTTATTTGTTGCTCTTTTATCATTAACATCACATCCTTATTAGTCTGAACCACCTGAGTTGCTGTTTTGTGGGTTAAACATGGACAATTTCATATAGTTCATCTTTATTAACAAAGGCCATTTTGTGACCTAATCTCCAGATTCTTGATGTATCATTTCACTTTTTATGCACAATGGTAATACTTTAACCATTCCTAATGCAGGTAAAATAAATAATTTGTAGGCAACTTGAACGTAAAATTATATTGACAGAAACTGTTATGTCTGTATTAAAACAAATTTATTTGTTACCTGTAAGACTTCTTCTGCAGATGGATAGGTTTGCCAAAATTTATTAAACAATGAAGGCTTGTGAGAAAAGGAACTTTCAAACTGTAAGGAAGACAAAAATGTTGCAAACGAAACTCTTTAAAAGTTGGAACTACCTTCCTTTTTATTTCAAAGAAAACAAATTCCTTAAAAAGAACTTTTACCTTATCTCTTGCCCATTGTATAGTGTGTTCAATAGCAGCTGGAAAGGATTTTAGAGTACAAAATGGTATTTCCTCTTCTGGGGGGTCCCGCTATTGTAAGATATAACAATGGAGACTTAATAGAAGCCATGACAAATTTTTATTGAATCAGTTTAAGTTTTAAGAGCACTATAAAAATTAAAATAAAAGCCAGGTGCCAGTGGCTCACACCTATAATCCTAGCTACTCAGGAGGATCATGGTTCGAAGCCAGCCCAGACAAATGCTTCCTGAGACCCTAGCTCAAAAAAGCCTTTCATGAAAAAGGGCTGGTGGAGTGGCTTAAGGTATAGGTCCTGAGTTCAGTCCCCAGTACTGCAAAACAAATAAATAAATAAAAAATAAAATAAAAAACAAAAAAGTTCAATAATACATTTTTGTATCTTCTCAGGCAGTATGAGAAAAAGTTAATTCTTTCGATTCTTCACCTATTTGTTAACAGTGATACAATGAAAAACACAAATCCTATTATCATTTATTACCTGTGTACTCATATAACATACCATTTTACTAATGGCAGATCACTAAACGTTATTCATTTTTTTTCCTCTAAAAATCTAGGTGATATTTGAATTTTTGTTGTACTACTCCCTAGTTTTAAAATCCAAGAATCTTGGATTTTCTCATTTCCTGCAAAGGGAGTAAGAAATATCCTCCACACTTTTTTCCCACTTCTCCCTACCTTATCCTCTTCTAAAATTATGGCCTTGTGAGACTTTGACCTTTTTGTGAGTGAGACAACTTGAAATGCTTTGCACATAGGAATCTCAAATTTCTGAATTTTGCATGGAAGCTGGGTAACTGAGAGAACCCTCTCATCCCTCATCTAGTCACAGAAGAATGGCTAGGCTGAGCCAGGAGTTGAATCTCACAAGTTTGGATCCTTCTCTAAGGTGTTTACAGTCAAACTCATGGAAGACATCTGTAGGAAAAGTATTTCTATCTAACAAAGTAAACTGAGCAGCATTTTTTAAGATGCCAGGATATTACCTACACAGCAGAATGAATTAAACTCAAAAAATGGATGCCAGACTATCCTGGGCATCTCAGCCTGGCAATGAAGGACAATTAAAGACAAACCGGGTAACTGGTCAATGGATGCCTTCAGAAGAAAACTGTTCAGAAACAAGGGAAAATTTGTCAAAATAAAAATGGAATCACACCAGGCATGGTGTTACATGCCTAAAATCCCAGTGCTTGGGCAGCCGAAACAGGAGGATCACGGACTACACAGAGAATTCTAAGCCAACGTGAACTATGTAACAAGACCTGTATTCAAACCAATAGCAAAATGGAGTCACCCTGCCAACCCTTCTAAAGTAACTAAAGCCACAGTTATGAAAAATGGATTCTTATGTGTGGGTATCTCACATAGGCAATTTAATAGATACTTTATTTTTAGCAATTAAATCTATTCCATCAAAATGTAACAGCCATTGATTATAACCTTAGTTTTACTTTTGCAAGGGATAGTAGCACCTAATCTGATGCTGGAGATAGCCAAGAGACAAATAAAACCTTATTGTTCTCAATAGCTCAGTGTAGTGTGACAGATTCTAAACTTATTGTCTTGGAGAAAAGATTACATTAACAACCAAAACACCTTAGCAAGGGAATTGAAGTTTTTAACTTTACATTGTAGAGCTCTACATCAGTATGTGGATGATCTTAAACTTCTTGGGGTCTACAGGATCCTTTCCATTAAAGGCACAGATCGCTAAGCAAAAAGTAAAGTTATCTAGGCCATCTTATAGCACCAGAAGAACAAACTCTTACCCCTGAAAAAAGAAAGTTCTTCTTAAAAGTAGGGCCTCCTCAAAGAAATAGCTTAAAACTTACTGTAAATGGCTGGGGTTTAGAACTCTGGCTTTGGGGTAATAAAGAAGTCCTTTTAGTCCTTTTATGAGGTAACCCAGGACCTGACTGTAAACACCTGAAATAAACTACAAAAAAAGCCTCTCAAAGCTGAAAGAATTACTGGTACCTGCCCCAGCAATTATATATTTTTTTGGTTTTGTACTGGGGTTTGAACTCAGGGCCTCATACCTGCTAGGCAGGTGCTGTATCACTTGAGCCACTCCACCAGCCCTTTTATGTGTTGGGTATTTTCAAGATAGCGTATCAAGAACTGTTTGCCTTGACTAACTGTTCAAAGCAATTCTCCTGATCTCTGCCTCTTGAGTAGCCAGGATTACAGGTGTGAGCCACAGACACCTGGCAGAAATTCCAAATTTTGATAGGCCTTTCATTCTATATGTAACTAAAAGGCAGGACATGACATTAAAAGTTTTATTCCAAGGTGGGGAAAATTCTATGATCTATGGTTTCATTTTTTCAAAACTATTAGGACATGCTTCTTGGATTCACATTCCAAAAATAAAACAAAAGAAGAAATAGCCAGATTGATCAAGAACTAAAATATTTTATTACTATGAGTCATTTACACTCAGTACTGAATGAAAACATTTTCTAAGGAGGGTAGCTAAGACCTGACTGGTACCATCTAAAATAGACAACAGATGGTTATAGGCTGCCATCTTTACAATAGCTATCAATCTGCTATGCTGTTTCTATGGCTGACAGATATTTTTAATACATTAAATCTATAAGCTTTACATTTCCTTACTATTTTTACGTTTCTTCTTAAAAATTCTATTAACCATATCCATATAGGAACACTTTTTTACTTTTAAAGGCTGCTTTTCACTAATTTCTCTTTTAGCAAAAGAATAAGTTGATGTCTTCTGGTCCTGATCGTGGCAACTTGTCAACTTAATTTCCCATGTCACTTCCTAAAGTAAGATAGGGAAATGACTTTTTGGTTCCCTTGGTAGGTAGGGTACCTACAGAAAATGGACTATCGACCTCCTGCATCACTTTTAAGATTAAAAAGGACCAAAGTTATTGGTGGTGGGGGTAATGAAGCAGGATAGATACATAAGGAGACAAAAAATAAAATTAGGGGGCTAGACTCAGACATTAAAGCCATAAAGTGAAACCTTAAAAAATATATAGCAGCAAGTTCCCCTCCCGTCACCTTCTTTTAGATGTTATGTTACAAGGATAAGAGATATGAAGACCCTGCAAGGCTCCTTGAATGAAAAAAAAAGACAAAAGAATAAAAGACATGTCTGGCAAAGGGAAGTCCTAAAATTACCTATTGTCCTTGTCTTTTGGGTGGGTCTAGCTCTCCTCTCCATGTTTTAGAAAAATAAACAGCACCCATCATATTCACCCAAAAACCTTTGTCTAAAGTGTATTTCCCCCAGCTCAGGAAGCATAAAGCAAAAGCCACCATTTTGAGTCTTTATTCCCATTTCCTGCATGGAGAGCAGGAAATGTTTCTTCCTTTTTTTCCCCCTCCTCTCTTCTCCCTACTTTACCCTCTTATACTAAAATAAGTCCTTGCTAAAGCTTCAAAATGAGAAAAAAAAAAAAAATCCTCAATACAGAGCTCATGGTACCACAAGTCTCTCCAAAAACATCCGAAACAAAATGTTGGATTCTTAGTAGTTTCTTACATTAAAGTGTGTACTAAATAAATGGGAAATTATTATCTATCATAGGGTGTGTTTATAGTTCAGGCTTACTGGTTTATTCAATATAAAATAACTTAATTAGTTTCTCTTCACTTAGAGATTTATATTTTAGTTTGTTGACTTATGAGTTATCCCTATATCTGTATAATCTAGTAACAGAAGCCAGAAGAGTACTACATTCTGGTTTTTAGAGTTTGAAGTCAAAAAACTTAGAAGACAGTTTAGGAAACATGAAGAATGATAGAAAACTTAGAATTTTATAGTGTTCCTTACTTTGAAAGTCTCCCAATAACATTCAGCATATTGTGATTTTTTCCCCCACCTAACTGCCTTCAAGTTCAACTTGTCAATTTAGTCTATTATAATGTTTTCACTGCATATATAAATTTATTTCATGAAAAGACATGGGGAAACTATAAACTTCATAAAAATTGAGCAATTTTAGTAAACCAAACACATATCTTAAGTAAAAGTACACTAATGCTTATAAAATTATCATGCTTTCAATTATTTTACTTGAGTTGATCTTTTTAAAATTGCAATGGCTACAAACCAGGTGCTGGTGGCTCACACCAGCAATCCTAGCTACTTGGGAGATTGATGGGGAGGAGTTCAGTTTGAGGCCAGCCAGGCAAAAATTTCATGAGACCCCATCTCCAAAAGGAACAGAGCAAAATGGAATAGCAGTGTGGCTCAAGTGGTAGAGCACCTGCTTTGCAAGTGTGAAGCACAGTGCTCAAATCCCAGTCCCACCAAGTAGGAAAAAAAATGCAATGGCTACAGTTATTTCCTAGACTAGAGGTTTCAACTTTGACAGTATCTCAAAATAGCTTATAGGTTTTAAAAGTTACATTTATATCATCTATTTAAAATATATACACAGAGATGGCTTAGTTTCATTTAAGAAGAATATGATTCTTCAGTTAGACTTTGAGTAAGCCACGAGCGTTTGTACTTGATAATTACTAAGTTTCAGATATTTCTGACACTGCATGCTAGGGTTGTAAATGCTTTAATGAGAACAAACATTGTATATCAATTAGAATTGAGTTCTTTACTTTTTACACCAGCTAATGTCTAACAAAATATAATAAAAAAGAACAACAAATGAAATAATTTTATGTCTTTATTGACAGTTCTATTCTCAGTCTAAAAGTTTAATTATTTTATGAAGTAATCTTAAACTCTAAGGTTAGAAAAGTAATCAAGAAGCTCTGAGAAATAGGTTGAGGACCCAGCTCAAGTGGTAGAGTGCCTGCCTAGCAAGCACAAGGCTGTGACTTCAAACCTTGGCACCACAAAAAGAAAAAAATAAAAGAATATTCCAGAAAGGACATAAAGTTTTAGCCATTACTAAAAAATACATTCAATTATATTTTTAAAAATTCACACGGACATACTTGGGGCACCAAAAACAGAATTAAGAAAGCTAGATCTAGCCAGACACTGGTGGCTCATGCCTGTAATCCTATCTACTCAGAAGGCAGAGATCAGGAGGATTACGGTTCGAGGCCAGTATGAGTAAATGTTCTTGAGACTCTATCTTTAAAATACCCAATACATAAAAGGGCTGGAGGTGTGGCTCAAGTGGTAGAGCAACTGCCTAGCAAGTGTGTGTGAGGACCTGAGTTCAAACCCCTAGTACTACCATAAAGAAAAAGGCTAAATCTAAATCTATTTTGTTGACTGAATGATGAAGACAAAAAAATTATGATATAAAGACGACAGACATTTTAGTTCAAAATACTGGTTCACTTACATGACTATTGTAAGATTCAGTCAAGTGAGGTACAACAACTTCAGTGTGTCCCTTAGTGCCCATTGTTCCCGAATCTAAGAGAGGCCGTAGATTTGCTAAGCAACGGCTGTACAAAAAAATAGTATGTACAAAACACACAAGTGAGCAATAACAAGCAAACAAAGGACATCCACCACTTTCTATTTACCATTTCCATATTGATCACTACCTGAATGTAGTATTTTAGGAAACAGACGCATGACCCATTTCTACTTCCCAGCCAAAATCTGCCATACACATAATTTTCTTTTTTACTAAACCCTAGTCATTTTTGTCTTTCCCTTCTACTACTACCAGGTTAATTCTTAACTGTGTTACCCAAATCGTATTAACTTTTCCAGTATTCACGTTATCTACATTCTATGCACTTTAATGTCATAAGTTTCTAGTTCCTTTTACTATCTTCCTCTCAAGATTATAATCTCTCCACTACATTTCTCAATGGTAAAATTTCATGTGTTAATATATCTGCTCTAGCATCCTAACATTATGGAGTCATAAAACAATCTAAGAAAGATTAAGCAAGGTGTACATATTTATAATTACTCATTAATATCTATTTATTTCACAAATACTTATAGAGTGATGCCATGTATTTGGCACTGAAAGTATACTGATAAAAAAATAAATGGTCTCTGGATGAATGATTTAGTGAGGAAACAAACATTACATAAATATGCATGTCAGTAAGAATCATTAAAGAAAAAGTATATTGAAGGGTCAAAAAAAAATCTGTTTTAAGAAAGACATTTAGGTTCAAACTGAAAAAAATGAAGAAAAAACCTAAACTGAAGAGCGGGGTAGCTAGACTTGAGACAGGAGTTTTAGAGGAAGAGAAATATCACTTCCTGAAGACTGAAGAGTAAGTGGGAGTTCCTGAGGTAAAAAGTGCTATAGGTCTTCTAAGAACCAAAAGAAGGCACATGTAGCTAGGTGCAGAGGGGGAGCCTGGGGGAAACTGGGTACATTTTAAGCTGGTGTGTGGATAGGTGGTAGGAAGTACATGAAAAACATTTACATACTGAATTTTTTGAAGTATAATAGGAAAACATCAAAGGGTTTGAGTAGTACTATAATAGAAACATAAAGAATAACCAAAAATATTGGTAACTTTTTAATTAGTAGGTATGGGGAAAAAAGCAAAAACAAAAGATAATTCCTTATGAACCTGAATTTCAAGAACATACCTGTCTACATATCTCCTGGCTTCCACATTATCTAATGCTGTAATAATTATATCTTGTTTAGTATAAAATTCATCATTATAAATGGTCTCAGTGGCTGGACATACTTTGTTCAGATGTGCATCTATCTTTATTTGAGGATTTATTTTCAGAGTGGCATCAGCAGCAGTATAGCTTTTAGGTTTCTAAATAAGTAACAAATACAAACAGAAGATATGTTAAATAAAAGAAAGATGAATTATGATTGAATTTACACATTCTTATCATCTGGAATATATGTATGAGTGAGAGCAAAGTAATAATACTAATCCCCATTTCTGTTTTGTGGAAATTATAGTCATTGTAATAGACAACATTTAATAATGTGCATTATTCCAAACAATTTATACTTTGTTAATAAAAATTCAAACAACCTTTATTTCATAGAAAACTGCTTCAGAATTTTTTTTTTTTTTTTTTTGGTACTGGGGCTTGAACTCAGGGCCTTCACTCTGAGCCACTCTACTAGCCCTAGTTTTGTGAAGGGTTTTTCAAGATGGGGTCTCATGTAACTATTTGCCCAGGCTGGCTCTGAATCGCAAACCTCCTGATCTCTGCCTCCTGAGTAACTAGGATTATAGGCATGAGCCACTGGTGCCTGGCCCAGAATTCTTAAAATACTTCAAAAATTATTACTTATGTTTCATTTTTATGAAAATGAATACCTAATTATAATCAATTCTTTTTTTAAAGATTTAGTAATCATTAAATCTCTGGTATCATTTCAAAATGTACTGCTTCTGATACTAAATTTATCTAGCCCACTCTGAATTCATGCTTCTAATTGAATGGTATTTCTGTTTCTTCTCACACTGTTAGGCTCACATGTTTCACTTATGAATATTCTTAGTAAAGAAATCAGAAACTTTGTTTCTGCTCAGCAAAATAATAAACAGGTCTTTATAGTTGTTTTAAAAATAAAGTGTACAAAGTGAATACATTTTCTGATATAGTTTAGCTCAGGGGAGACCTTGTTACTGTGTCTTTTATATTTGGATAAGGCAATTAGGTTAACTATGTTACCTGCTTTAGTTACTTTCTGTTCATGACATGCCTAAGTTTAGTTTACTAACACTGTCAATGTCAACTGTCAACTGAACAATAAGGGGAAAAATTCCTAAGGTAAAAGCAAATTTGCTTGACTAAAACAGCTTCTTTTCCTGACTTAAGTGAGAAAATAGCATTAAGCGAATAGGATTAAAACTAGTGCATGAAAAATCTAAGTGTTAAATTTTACCTTTTTATAACAAGGACCAAAAAGTTTCCAATTTGTGATCTGTTAAAACTTCAAATTAGAGAAGTCGTTTCAATATATTTAGTTTCTAAAACTAAGTATGGAAACAAACTTTGGTGATACAAAATGAAAAAAAATGCTGTTTCACAACTTGAATATTAATATCTAAAGTCATGCAAAGACAATTTTTTGCATTAAAAGATATTATGTTTTTCCTTTCCCTTTCCATTATTTGATAATTCAAGAGATTCTAATAAAGAATATATGCTTAGTCCCTATTTTCCATTTATAAAAATAAAACTTTTTTGCATAATACACAGATAATCTAAATTTGAAACAAAATAGCCACATACCTGTATATGATGAGGACGAAAGAGGAACTGTCTATTTAAATTGGATTTTTCTATCAAATCAGGATCTGTGACTGTAACCTAATACACCAAGAGGAAAACATATACAGACAAAAGGAAAACAGATAAATCTATTTTGCTTTTCTTAGTATGACTACAACAGTCCCCACAAACTATTCTAAATTGTTTTGGCTGGTAAAGGTCGTAAGAAAATAAATACTCTAAAATGGTCATCAATACCATGGTTTTTTGTTTATATTTAAATGTAGTTAAAATGTTTCACATAGGAGTATGTCAAATAAAATAGCTGACCTCAGTAGTAATTCTTGATCAAAACTTTTTTTCTTAAATTATTTATAACAAAACAGAAGCTGACAACATCTCCATCACCTTTTAGAACTACACAATTGTTTACCCTCAGAGGAGCTATGTCTTTTTTCTCTAAATTTATGGACATTTATTCCTTTTTGGGGGCAGTACTGGGGTTTGAATGTAGGGCTTCATCCTTTATTTATTCTAATCTCAAATAACTTGGGAAGAATGCTGATATATCTCAATTTGAAATGAATTACAGCTCAGGGACGGCCTTCAGGGCAGTCTGGCTATTTCTATAAACAAAGTGAAGTTTTACTGCATATTGTCTATGGCTATTTTCATACTTAAAGGGCAGAGTTGAGTAACTGTAACAGAAAGCTATAGGCCTAAAGTAATTGCAAACTGATCGTTTAAAAGTTTCCAGACTTCCATTCTAAAGGATCCAAGAAGAAAGTAAACAGACCCAAGATAACCAAAGAGTATTCAAATGCATTTCCACTAAGCTAGTATTCTTTTTTCTTTTTCCTTTTATTTTATCGGTTTTATATTTACTTGTATGTGTATACATTATTTGTGCCACCTTCCCCCTAAGCTAGTATTCTTAAACCTTGTTATCCTTCTGTTTATCCTTCAAATACTATTCACATGATACATTTTTCAGTGCTCATGATGATAATCCTTCATCATTTTACTTACTAGATCGCTTTAATTTGCCTTCCCTCCTGAAAGATAATTTCAGTTTATAAATTATAATTATAATTTTAGTTTATAATTTATAATTATAGGTTGATAGTCATTCCCACTTGTACTATAAAGATAAAGTTCCATTATCTTCTACCATTTACTGATGATCAGATATCTTGAAGTCTTTACACAATATAATTTTGGACCAACATACCAGGGTGGCACATGCTCTGAATTGTATGTTCTCATGAGTGAGTTCCCTTTTTACTTAAGGTTTTGAATAGACATTCAAGTTGTGTCTTAACACCTGCAGATTTCTCTTTGTACCTTGGCTACATATGTAAACATCTATAATACTTTTTGTACAGTAAGCCCATGTATTTACAGTATGATAGAGGCTGGTCTGCATGTATTCACTTTGTTCTGTTGCCTGAAGTCAGTAGATCTCCTCCCTTCTTTTCCTCACCTTTACATGCTGATGAGCATTGTGAATTCACAAACACTAAAATGTCTGGGTGATACACAGCTTATATAACCAAGGATTTTTGCAGTACTGGTGTGCAAACTCAAGGCTTTGTGTTTACATAAGTGCTTTACTGCTTTAGCCATACCTCCAGCCCCAGGAGTATTTTTAAACCACCAGAACTAATAGCAGTTTGTGGAACACAATTTAGGAAAAGGTGGGCTAGGACAATACCTATGATAGTAACGAATCCCCTTTTCAACTGCAACAATGTCAAGTTTAATAAACTATAAAATGTGAATTATACACATTTTAGTTATTTATGTAGTCAGTCTGTTAGTTACCCTGACAAATGTATGAAACCACTAATGAAAGCTATTTTATATCTTAAAAGGTAAAACACCAGCTGGGCACCAGTGACTTATGCCTGGAATCCTAACTACTCAGGAGGCAGAGATCAGGAGGATCACAGTTTGAAGCCAGCCCCAGGCAAACAGTTCACAAGACCCTATCTCGAAAAATACCAATCACAAAAAAGAGCTGGTGGAGTGGCTCAAGGTGTAGTCCTGAATTCAAACCCCAGTACTGCAAAAAAAAAAAAAAAGTATTTAAATATTTGACATGACTTTGCAATTAACTCACATTTAGTCTGAAGAATTTTAACAGCAGACCAATGCATTATTTCTACCAATCTGATACCAACTGAAGCTACATCTGATTACTCTGCAACTTTCTAATGTCTTCTCTCATCTTAAAAGATTTAACAATTAATAGCATCTAATAGAATAACGTTTTTTAGTTTACAAAATCCTTTTGCATTCGATCTTCATCATAATGTTATGAGGCAGTATGGATCTCAGTTTCATAATATTAGAGAAAGAACTGAGGAGCAATGAACAAAGTAACTTGTCATGAGGTAATATAACTTGAAAAGCACTCAGAAGATAATTAGAATCTTCTAATTTCTAGTTAAATGCTCTGGCTTAAATTTGAACTTCTCAGATATGTAATCAAATACAGTTCAGAAAAAGGGCAGCAACAGAAATATAAACATTTAACTCTCAATGATTTGTATCTTACCATTCCTTTCTCTTTGCTTGTACCAACACCAAGTAAAGCAAAATTTTTTAACATTTCACAGCCTATGGCTCCACATCCTACCTAGGGGAGAGAAAAATGATACATAATGTCTACTCAACAAATAACAACTTCATTCTAGTTTTCTTCAAATGCTGTTATAATAAATATATATTTTAAAAACTGCCCATTTGTGATTCATTTTACTTATAGGTTAGTGATGCCATTGTAAGTGTCTCAAAGGAAAAAAAGTGTAAACCAAATAAGGAGAAGTATAATATTTATAATTCCTTTAATCAGATGACATATAAAAATTCCAAATAAAAGTCAAACAGAGAGCACATTTTTTTACATATGATAGAAACAAACAACACAAAACTTGGCCTCACACTGCTAAGCAGGTACTCTACCACCTGAGCCACTCCACCAGTTCAGGTATGACATTTTAATGAAAAAAATCCTTTACTTTTAGACGTTTCTTGAAACTCATCTGATGGCCAGAACTATTCTAAAGACTTCCCTACTAATAGTTTTGAGTAAGATCAGATAATCAAAACCTGTTAATAGTTGATTAACATCCATGTAGAAGCTCAGTAGTAGTTGCTGATCTTCCAAACATTATTTTAAAAATGATTACTACAAATCAGTATTTTCAAAACTGATGTATAATGATTATGATAATAATGAAAGAGTTTTATGCACACTGAGGAAAATTTCCCTGCCAATGCACTAAGATATTTAAAGAAGACAGAATTCACTCAACACTGGTGGCTCACAGCTATAATCCTAGCTATTTAGGAGGCTAAAATCAGGAAGATCAGCATTCAAGACCAGCTCAGGAAAAAAGTTAGTGAGACTCCCATTTCAACCAATACTGGAGTGCAGTGGTGTGCACCTGTCATTCTAAGCTATGTAGGAGGCTGAGATCAGGAGGATCATGGTTCTACGCAAGCTGAAAAAAGCTACTGGGACCCCATCTCAACAGAAAAAAGCTGGGCATGGTTGGTATGTACCCGTTATTCCAATTATGGAGAGAAGCATAAATAAGAGGATGGCGGTCCAGGCTGGCCTCAGTAAAAAGGAGTCATAGTCTCCAAAATAACCAAAGCAAAAAGGGCTGGAGGTGTGCCTCAATTGGTAGAGTGCCTGTCTAACAAGCACAAAGCCCTGAGTTCATAAGTCCAGTACTGCCAGGAAAACAGACAAATTAAAACCAAAAAGAAAAACCAGAATATCATTCAATGTTCAAAACTATCATACTCATTTTAATTTGAAATTTATTAATTCTTTAGGCCATGTGGGCTGGCAAACTTCTTATGTAAAGGATCAATTAGAAACATTTCAACTTTGTAAGCTATATGGTTTCTATCATAACTATTCTCTACTAGAATCAAATTTACTTTAGTAAATTAGCATGATAAGCAACAGCAGTTTGAACATACTACTTATTCCCATCAAGATTCACACTTACTAAAAAGATATTCAAATTTTGGAGCTTCTGACACAAAGTATCTCCAATGCAGGCTCGTAAGGCATCATACCTATCTCCTCTGAAGAAAATAACACAACCAGGCAGAAAGACATAAAAACATTAACATTAGTTTAGTTATTGTTAGTACCAATTTAATGTTGTGCTTTAAAATAGAATATACTTTTAAGTGAAGATGACTTTAGATTACAGCAGTCCCCTTTGACTCAAGATCTTCAGTGGATGTCTGGAACCCTGTATGGTCCCAATCCCTATGTATACTAAATTTTATCCTATACATTCATACACAAATTTAATATCATTTTCATCTTAACTAAGTAATTATTATATACACTATTCTTACAACTTTTGCAGGTTGAGGTGCAACAGAAAAACTCTTACCTCTTGAGGAATGCCTTCACCCCTTCTCCCCCTTCCTTTTTTAACTTTAGTTTTTTACTTGTTTTGTTTTGAGATGGGGTCAGGCTGCTCTTGCACTGTCAGTGAAAGTAATCCTCCTGCCTCAGCCTCCAGTCTAGCTGAGACTATAGATGTACATTACCATGCCCAGCTAGATTTATTCTTACTGTAGATAGATCTCAACAACCTCAGCATAGAGTGTTTTTCTTTTCCTTACATTGAGAATTTTCATCTGAACTTTACTTTCTTCTCTTTGGTGTATGTGAATTGCCAACATCACTATTCTTGCATTTTGGGGCCATTATTATTAAGTAATGGTTACTTCAACACAAGCAACTATGATAGCCACAGTTGATCTGATAACAGACGACCTCTAAGTGACTAAGGGGTATACAGCACAGATAAATTAGTCAAAGGGATGATTTGACTTGTGAGAAAGGAAAGTGAGATTTCATCATGCTACTCAGAACTACAATTTTAAATTATGGATTCTTTATTTCTAGAATTTACCATTTAGTATTTTCTGACTACAGATAACTGAAATCTCAAAAAATAAAATTGTGGGTAAGAAGGAATTACTATATCTAGGAAAAAAAATTCTAAGTCGGTGATTTTTAAGAAAGCTCTATGAATGGAGTTTAGGAATTATCAACCCTCTTAAATTGAAGACATGAAGGAGGCGCTGTTTCTCACGCTCCCTCCCTTGCTGGAGCAAGGTTTTTTCTCTCCTTCCTTCAGCAGCAAACAGGGTGGAGCAGAAGCTCTTGGGGGAGGGGCGAGACATTATAACAGGAGAGACCTGTGTTCCTGCTTCTCTGAATGCAACCTTAGGAGATGCAGCTGTACTGCTTTTTCTGTTTCATGACCTGGGCTGTGCCTATCTCTGCCTACAAATGAAAGAAATTAAGCCGCATCTCGCCTTGCTTACGTCCAGTTCTCATAGGCTTTTCTAATCCCCTCTCATAGGGAGAATGAAATCTATAAACTTTTAACTGATTCTGAAAGAGATTTATGGCCCAAAAGGTGAAGAGGGACTAACAAAGGATTGTAGATAGCATTTTTTTCATCTAATTTCACTATGACATTTTGAATACCACTCTTCATGGTATACAATTAAGTTTATATTCCTTATTTATAAGGTGGTAAACAGGCATAGTATTTTATAATACTCAACCCTTAAGTAGAAAAAAAGCAACTGCAAAAAAGTAAATGAATTAGGAGAAAAGACATCTAAGACAAAGGCATGTGTAGACAAAAACTTAATCTCTGCCTCTTAAAAACATACTAACAAAAAAGCAACACAAACTTCATTATTACCGTGGGAGAAATTCTTCACGTTCAGGTTTGCCGAGGGATTCAACAATATCTGCTGCTTCAAGATACAACTTAAAAGTAGATTAAAAACATAATTTACTATGTATAAAACTTAAATCACAAAAAAACCAGCTCTTCTATTGTCAATAATAATCATGCTAAAAGCTGATAAAAATGCCAATTTAGCATAAAGTTACCTTTTATAATATAGTATATATTCTTATATTTTTTTCCATTTAAACAATGGTGAAACATTAAAGAACTGTCAAGAGATCTATAATTTATATCATTTATTCATCCTAAAGATGATACTTTCTAATCTTTAACAGGAAATTTCACCTCCAAAACTATTTTTCTTAACTATATAAAAACTCTGCAAGTCTTACTCAATTTCTGCACATTTGAATAAGTAAGCTAATTAATTTTTGAAGAGAAACTACCTAGTCTGTACTTGTTTTCTAGCTTGGATATAGGAAATGGTCTAGGAAGCTCAAAATTTCAGTACTTTAAAAGTATCACATAGAATTAGTTTAAGTCAATGGAAAAACAAAGAACCTAGTGTTACTCTCATTTTCACTTAAGTAACTTATGTGGCTAAATTTGAACATGACCAAATGGTTAAATTTATAACACAGAATCTACAACATTAGTAATAAATTACATTTCACACTAATCAATTTCTACCAATCGATTTGCATTGTGTTCAATAACTCAGCAGCAAAATAGCATCATGTGGGTACTTTCATAATATAAAAAATGATGAATGTTATATTCAAAATATTTAAACTGTTTCAAAACACTTAAACTGTTTCAAAACACACAGGGTCTGCAGAGCATGTGCTTTGATATTTTCTGCCAATTATTCCTTTTGGTAACACAAATGGTTTTTACTCCATCTTGTTTTTAATCTTATATAGCTCTCAAATCTACACCATTTCTATGTTGTTCACCTTTAGAAGTTTATTTCCAGGAAAGAGACCTGAAGATCCACGACAGCAAAATGTTCTATGGAACAAGGTCAAGAGTCCTGAGAGTCTAAGAATTTTAAGGTAACAGTACTGGAGAAAAACTAACATACCAAATGAAAATTCACTTCTTTGCTCTTACAATAGAGGGAAATATACCTGAAAAAGTATCTTTGCGTTATATCCCAATGTCCTCAACATATGATATTGTTAATTTCAAATACAGAATTAAGATACTTATCTCTCATGTATCAAACATTTTAATTTTAGTTTTTAATATATAATTAACATTACATTATAATACACAATACATTTATTATATGAGTGGAAACTCAACCATAAATATAAAGAAATGGCAAAATTAGAACTAACCCACTGGCACAAAGGAGAAAACTTTCCTGTCACAGCTTTTAATACTTCTTGGCTAGCAACACCTCCTACTGCTGCAGCAAGTGGGGGTAAAAAGCCTCGAGCAGTCCAAGAGAGCCACTGCACAATGTCATCGTTTACTTCAGGCTGAAACACAAACAATGAAAGACAGTAATATTAACGCTATTTGCATAATGCCCTTAAAATTTCAGTGACTAAAGGTGATATATTACACTTAACTTCTAAAAAAATTACTCAAGTTCTCTACTAAATAGCTTTTAAATCCTAAAAATTTCTTAATCTCATAATAAAAGAGATCAATTTGCATGTTATCTGCCCATTTTTTGCTTTCAAACTCTATTAATAGCCTATGGTATCATTTAGAATTAACAGAAATATCTACCATCTATAGTTTCATTAAAGAATAGTTCTGTAATACCAGTCATATTTACAAGAAACTGGAATTACAGAAAAAGTTAATGAAAATACAGAAAAAACATGATAAACCAGATAAAGAAAAGTAAAAATAAAAAAGAATCCAAGAAAAAATGATAAAGAAGAAATATAGCAGATTAGAGACACCAGTGCTTCCATGAATCTCTACAAGTCTGAAATGAAACTTCAGGTACATGGCTGTCAGTGGTGTGGATGGGCATGGGAGTGCAACAGAATATAGGAGATAGAGACCATGTGAAAACTGAAAATACTGAACTTCAGATTTGTAAAAGAAACTCAATGGACACTAACACTAGGTGCAAAGCAAAATGGTAGGGAAGGGGAAAATCTTTTTCAGCAGGGTTTTAAGTGAATCAGATGAGCAAGTTCCACAAGGGCACAATGTGGTCATCTGCAAACACACAATTTAAGATGGAGGATCTACGATCCATACAGCAAGCACAGGTACAGAAAGGGGGCTCTGAACTTCCTATTTTACTCACTGGTGCTATGGTGGGGAACCACTTAAGAGAGGTCATCCAGTCAAACCTTTTGACTAAATAAAGCCAAAGACCCTGCATTTTTTATCTTTAAGCCCCAAAGCCCTTTTCCCCTGGCTAAGCAACACCCTGAAAATCAGTGTGAACCCAGGAAGCTGGTTTTGACATGTGCATAGGTTTTCATGGTGGGAGTGCAGTCCATGCTAGAGGGAAGTGGAGGACACTCGTAGCAGAGAACTATGGTTTAAGTTTGGGAAGAGGAAAAAGACCAGCTATATGTGAATACAAGCAGGCAAGGCTAGGTTAGAGACATCATGGCCAGGGCAGGCAGGGGGTCATGTCTCACTGTGTGAGTGCAGACTACCTTGGTCTGACTGCTTTCCACACTCTTAGAGCTTCATGGAAAAACAGCAACTGCTTATCCATTTCTCTCACCCATGACTACGCTGGCAGAATACCTCTGGGGCGAGGGAGTTTGTAGAAGGGGGTATTTAATAGTGGAGGTCCTTGTGCTCAGCAGATAGAAGCATTCTGAGGGAAGGAGCTGCACCTGTCACACTGCCAGGCCTGCAAACTGAAAACACTGGCAGGAATTCAGCCCACTGGTCACAGTAATGCACAACCTGCAGGAAAGGCAGGGCAGGGATTGGACTGAAACAGATTAGTTTAACTAGTTTGGGCTTCAGAAAGAAAACTACTCAAATCCCCTGTCATCCCCACCAAGTAAACTTCAAAACAAAAAGCCTGGGAAAAACATGAAACATTGCCATCCTCTATCTCCTCAGCAAGGAAGAAATATTGATTGGTCTTTTTCTTTTTGATTGTTTTTTAGTTGCCATGTTTGTTTTATTGTGTTTCCCCTCCTTATTATTTTTTATACCTTCATCTTATCTACTTTTCCTCTTTATCTTGCTGCTCTTTCTTCCACTTCCTATTCCCCTTCTTTTTGTTACTTAATAATTAATACATTAATACTTTAGCTCATTTCTTTTCATCCTTATTAGGGGTATAGTTAATATTTTCAATTTTTTTAAACTACATTTAAAATTTTATTTGTTTCTGAAATTAATTACTGTGACGCTTTCTCTCTTCTGAGTGGTATGGGAATTGAGACCTCAAGAAAACAATGTCCATGAAGAAGATACCCATATAAAAACAGAAGCAATATCCATGTCAAGAAATGTGCAAATTGCAGTATAGTAACACAGAAATATGGTTCCTCCAAAAGTTCTTAACTCCTCCATAACTGAATCCAAAGATGGTTCAAATGCTGGGCAAAAAATCTGTTAAGTGTAGTTTTAAAAATGACCAATGACCTCAAAGAGGAATAAACAGATGAGTAAAGTAAGGAAATCAATTCAAGACATGGACAAGAAATTCACAACTTGGGTAAGAAACTCAGTAAATAGATTTTGCAAAAAAAAAAAAGAAATGCAAGGATCACAGTTCAAGACAGTCTAGCAGAAATTTGAGAGACCCATCTAAACAATAGCTGGACAAGGTTAATGTGCACCTGTCATCCTATCTACAAAGGCTAAATGGGAGGACTCAGATTCTAGGCTCGCCAGTTTAAACAGAAATACTGTGAATATTCACCTTCTCTTCCAAGGTTTCACTTACTGATGTCGCCGTTCTTAGCTCTTCTGAATCTTGTTGGCATCTTGCAATTTAAAACAAGCATAATTAAAAATAAAAATTAAAAAAAAAAAATAAAATAAAATAAAACAAAGCACTTTTGATTTCAACTTTCTCTATTGCATAAACAGCAAGTCACGTTCAAAACTAAAAACGAGCTATATGTAAAAAATTGATGGGGTGCCAGTGGCTTATGCATAATCCTAGCTATCAAGAGGAGAAATAAGGAGGATCATGGTTCAAAGCTACCTTGGGCAAATAGTTTACGAGACCCGATCTTAAAAGCTGTTCACAAAAAGGGCTGGTGGGAGTGACTCGAGTTAATCTTGATTCAAGCCCAATACGCAAAAAAAAAAAAAAAGAGAGAATTTGCAGTACAAGCACAACAGTGTTTCACTGAGTTAAAGGTAAGGCTTATAAATGTACTTCAAAAGCCATAATCACAAGGGATATATAAAAAGATTTAATTTTAAATACACAAGGAATGACCCTTTTGTAATGGTTTTATGACTTAGACTAGAAGGAAAAAATAGTACCCTAGATTAATTTATATAATTTGCTTTTCATTAAAAAGTTAATATTTTTTAAAGCTTAAAATAGGAAATTATCTGGTATTGGTGACTCTCTGTAATCTCAGCTATTTGGGAGGCAGAATCAGGAAGTATTGTAGTTCAAAAGCCCAGGCAAAC